AGTACTCGAGTGGTGTTCATATCACAAGCTTTCTGTATGTCACGGATTCTAGGACAGGTGTTGGAGCAACTATGTGGTTGATGGTAGTAGATAATAATTCCAAGGAGAGAACTACTACAGGATCTATCTACACATATATATATATATATATATATATAAGAGCCTCATGTTCTACAACGTCAATGCACTATCAATTGAGGAGGTTGTGTCCGATCTCGTATATTCCCAGCCGATAGCTTCTCACCCAAAAGTGGGGCCATGTTGAGCTGCACTGTTGAATCGGATGCTATTCAGATTCCGATGCTCCGATATTAGATGGATCGATCGTGCGCACCCTAAATTGGACCAAGCCTATGTTAGCCAACATAGGCTACAGGAACCAGCCGTCACACTGTAGCAGTAATAACAATTGGTGGTTAACATATATCTCCTGATTCTTCTCTTCTAGCTAAAGAAAGCACTTATATATAGCAGTTGTCCCTCTCTCCTGACCATATTCCTAAACAGGTAACTTATTACTCATCAACATAATTAGTCATCATTTCTAAGATAATACATGGAAGGTAATTAAGTCATTAGGTCATTTGAAACTTATCGAGTCTACGGATAACATTCGCTGGTTAGGCGTGAATCTGGATCTACGACTCAATTCTAAACACCATGTAACTATGTGGTGTGGTAAAGCGGTAAAAAATGCCCAGCACATGCGCCGTTTCAACTCTGCCTTTCGTGGAGCAGCACCCGGGTCATTGGCTAAGGCAGTAGACATGTGTATTGTCTCGCTCGCAACTTTTGGATCTGATATCTGGTGGCCAGGGTCCAAACGCCCAACTTTACGAGGACTAGTCACATCCTCAACCTCCAACCTCTGCAGCATGATTGACAGAGCTAATCTGATGGGATTGCAGGCTGCACTTCCAGTAATGAGGACAATACCAAATTTAGTCCTTCACAGAGAAGGAAGAATCCCGCCGGCAAAGTTCATACTTGAGGGAAACCGACTCCGACTTCCGGCAAGACTTAAGAACCTTGATGATCGACACCCTTGGAGGGCAAGACTGAACACCTGTACGCGGTGTCCTCTACGAAGTTGGGAGTGAAATATTCTCCCAGAGCCAAGTTCAGCCAAATTTCGCAATACCGAACAAGTTGGCCCACGAGGCAATGATTCAAAATACTCCACCATCTCAATCTTTCACTCCCAACTAAATCGATTCCTACCTAAGCCTCATCAAGTCTACAAGTACGACTCAGTACATCCTCATTCTAATGACCACACCTCTTTTCGACTTTCTCTGGCCTAAGCTGGTCGTCAGATACACGCCCACGCCGAAATTTACACCCGACGGAGGAAGCAAAGCGTGGCACACAAATCTGGGAAACAGTTCTTTGGGATGGACGTGAGAGAACTCAGGACAAGTTGATAAGATGATGCAGAGGATGGATATAGTCTCGATGGGCATAATATTTCGAGTTATGGCAAGAGTTTTACGAATTGGGCTTTGTGCGTGCCACGGCTTCGGCTGCGAGAGTGCAGGCGACACTATAAACTGCCATGGCTGGATGGTGCGGTGGTACATCGTCTTGGCCAGTCTGCCAAGTAGAGTCTGTATAGCTTGGACACACATCCCACTTGAGACAGTAGATCGCCGGTTCATATCCGACAAAACACAACCACTTTTCTCGCGGCGCTGGTATAAAAATATGACGAAGGCATGCTTGGATAACCAAAGGTTTTGAAATGTCCCTTTGGTGGTTACTTACGGAGGAGAGTCGACTGTTTGTGTAAGCAAGCATACCTCATAGTAGTATTTGCGAATGAAATGCAGAGTATGAGTATCTCTAATGTCAAAAGAGTCATCCCACATGTATACATAGCACCGCTCATGTGTCATAGCTAGATAGCTGAATACATATTAAATGATTTAAAAAAAAAAGATCGACACCCTTTGAGGATCCGCGCTTCCGTGTGCCCGAATTTGGGCACTCGGAAATACAAAAAGGCCGCCAAAACCTCAGCCAGACTAGAAATCCAGATGGCACGATTATAGCGTGCCTATCGAGAGCCTCCAGAAGCAGAAGCTCCTGAGAGTCTGATGTTGGTGGTTTATCATAGGAAACCAGGCTTAAAGTCGATGGAACGCGAAGAATGCGTTAGAAGAATTAGCGACGTGCCAGGAACGGACATTTGCGCATACTCGGATGGCTCATCAGAAGCATACGGACGCTCCGCTTGGGGTTTCTTTCTGAGAAAGGATGGGAAACTCATCGGCAAAGTAAGTGGCATCAAGCACGGGGGAGAGGTGCTGGATGCAGAGATAGTAGGAGCAAGGAAGGCTCTGGAGGCCGCACTGGAGTTCTTTGGCATCGAAGAGTCCAGGAAAGTAGGGGGATCGCAGCAAATCCACTTGTTTCTAGACAGCCAGCAGGCTGTAAGCGCACAAACGACGGGCTCGTCCTCAACTAGCCTTGAATATTTACGCAAATTCCGTACGTTATCCAATGAGGCAGAAATATCAGTGAAGTGGGTTCCAGGGCATACAGGAATTCAAGAAAATGAAGAGGCAGGCATTATGGCCCGTGCAGCACTTCGAGAGTTACCTAGCCCGGATACGCAACCAGGAACAAGTACTCTGGTACATCTTTGAGGCCTCATGAATCGCAGACGACAGAGGCTGCTAGACAACTGGTGGGAAGAGGCCTGTCCGCCTAAATACCACCAACTCAACCTAAAGGTGCGGAGACGCAAACCACCCGAACTGTCTCTCTCTAGGTACCTCCTCCGGGCACTAATTGCAGCACGAACGGATCACGACAATTTTGCGGCATACCATCGCCGTTTTAACAATCCACACACTCCTATGGAGTGTTCTTGCAGGAAAGAAACCACTCTAACCCACTTCATCCACTGTAGCCGCCACGCACAACACACGCGTGGGCTTAGAAAGTCAATGTCCGACGTTGACTTTGTCAAAAAGCTTCTCGGGCCCAAATGCCACGAAAGCTTCAAAAAATTTGCGCAGTAAACCGGCTGTTTTGATAGCCAACCCGCCCACTCATCCACTGCTCTCAGCGGGGAGCAGACAATCTAGTCATTGCCCTAACGCAAGACACAAAAGGGATCGATGCGAGAAGTGTCGATTCTCTGAGGAAAGATTGCAGCAATTTAGAGTTAGGGAGAATAGTAGTGATTTTTTGATCTAGGAGTTGGAGTAGCTGGTGTCCTCTGAGTTATAATTTACCTTCTACTTTTTCTGTAGCGGGTCTCGCGGTTGGAATGAGCTAGGCCTGTAAGCAGTGATCCCCGCCGGCTCCACCATTCTTGTACCTATAGTGGACCAAGAGCTTTAGCTTATGACTTTAATCTAATAAAAAAAAACACGAAAGGCAGATATAAGCGACAACATGAATGCTGATGTCAACAAGTTTAACAGTCATCAAAGTGCACTGGTTGTGCGACAAGATAACGTTGAACTATCTAATGCAATCCACTAGAAAGCTATCAAGGGTAAAACAGTAACCATATTTTCTGCCCATGCTGATCTTCTTGCGCGTACGTTTATTGCTGTGGAGCTCACCTGCTGGGTACGCCTATTTTTCCACCTCGACTTCACTCTCCAAGAAAAACCAACAACCTTCTGCAAAAATATTCAAAAAATCCGTACAAAGACTAGGGAAGCCTCGGAATTAGATACAGCGATAAAACATATCGATCTCCACCAGAACTGGCTTCGACAAGTGGTTCAATTAGGACATATTGAAATTAAATATGATAAAATAATAAATATAGTGGCCAATGGATCGACAAAAATCCTTCTGGCCCTAGAACATGCAGAGTTTATACATCAACTCGACCTCTGCAACATTGACAATATTATCAGCAATAATTCACTTACTATTGCTGATTCGAATACCAGGAACATCTCAGATAATACCTAATTCAAGATGTCCCTGGGGGGTGTGTCAAACATCTGATAGCTTAGAACCTACTGAATAAGGTAATGAGAATCATTGGATATCGGAATGACATATCTCGGATCAACTTACTCGAGCTTTGATATCTCACCAGGGACATGGTGATCAGGATGTTCAGGATAGTCAAAGCTCCAACTTGAGATCTTTTGATCTTCAACACACGCAATACATTTCATACGTAATTTTGGGAAAACGAAAAGACAATCTCTCCCCGCAATAGTTTCATATGGGTATATAGTATCACTGCTGGAGAGGAGTTGAGGAGCAGAGATTTCATCAATACAAGTTTACTTTACATTTTTCATTTGACTCTCAGTGTGTCTAACAGAATCTGTTAATTGTCAAGATATGATTGATAGGAAATGATATAAATTATTAGTTCAAAGACTGTTGGAAGAAAACTGACGCACAAAGACCAACCGGAGCGAAACGGACAAGATCCTTTAAATTTGGTCGACATTTGACTGCATATACGCTTCACATTATATTTGACGGCTTAACCTAAAAATCATACACTAGAGATCGGTCAACGCTTTATATACATTGGTTATACACTCATGGGATTAAGAGAGATGATGATAGTATGTCAGACAATTGTTTGTCTTCAAAAAATCGCTCGAGAAAACACCTTTGTGTGAGAGTGATTTAGTGTTATACATTGTATAAAACGAATTTTTATCACGCGACTAATAGGCATAAAGTAATTCGAGTATGGATTGGGGCGCAGAGGTCTTCATGACTGTGTCAGTAGTGGCTGCGGCTCTATTCCTGCCTTTCTCCTTAGCTTTAGATTATTGCAGCTCTTATAGATTAGACCAAACTACTTGCTGTGCCGCAACTTTAGGACAACTCCATTAGAATCGTTATGGTGACCGTGCCTTTACACCACTTTTTGCCCTTACTCAAGAATAAGTAGTTCCAGGAACCAAAACTATCTGATTTGACAGTGATCAATGCCAAACTAGATTTCTAAATTCAACTAAATATTTTGAAGAGAAATGTGTATAAAATATAATCATTTAGACTCATGACCAGCGAAACAGGAGTGAAGCGAACACTGAGATAATGGTTGCGCTTAGAGCTGCACTCTTTAAAGCAAGGATTGTAATATCGTATCTTTTTATTTCCACTACTCTATCACTGAACAGATCTTTGAAAATGATCAGACATTGACTCAAAGTTTTGGGTGCGTAGGTCTTAAGCTTGAGTTCGCCAACATAGTCCTTGGATGGTTCGCCTGCTATTGTCTTATCTGGCACACCCGCGAGAGTAGATTCGAGAACAGTGTCGGCCGCGTTATCTCTATTCTCTATCTCGCTATCTGAATCAATAAGTTGACCCGTTGGAAGTGAGTTTGATTGTGTTTGTTCAGCTTTCGGTTCATGTATTCGTGTGTGTTCCTGTTCTATTGCTTCCCGAACTTTTTCTTCAAATCCCTGGACTAGCCTCTTCCGTCTCCAAGGCTCGAATCCAAGTTGAAAAACCAAAAACAAAAGCACATTGACTCCCATAAGACCCCAGGTTCCCCATGTACTCATTCTTCGTATCTTATCACTCCATATTTGCTCTTCGTGGTATCTGCTTAGTATGTTACTTCGAAGCTGCGCCGCTGAATCTTCAACCTTTCCTTCTGCATCTGCTAGTTGTACAGTGGCTTCCTGAACAGCTTGCTCATTACTATGATCCATCCTATACAGCGCTGTAAATCTTTCGAGATCACTAGGTGTCCAGGAATCTTTCCTTGCTAATAAAGTGGTGACTTCTCGCTGGGTAGCAGCGCGATCTGAAACTGTCGTCTTGTATACTTGACGTGCTGTGCGCACAGCCGACTGCGCTTCATCAACCCTATTTTCCAGAATTGTGATGCGCTTTTTCAGAGCTTCGATCCCTGAGTAACCAGTGAGATCGTTGATTCGCTGGGAGGCTAAGAAGATATTGCCCTGAAGGTGATCCATGAGATGGGAAAATTTCTTTGTTGCTGCGAGCCGTCGCCCTGCTTCGGCAGAGGGGAGGGTTGTATCATGGTCTTGCGTAGTTCGGGCTGATGTAGATGAATCATTCAGAGTCGTAATGGATGTAGGGTTTTCTTTGGAGCTCGTATTTACTCGCCGAAATTGAGCTGATAGTTTACTTTGATGACAAGACGATGCCCACAGTAATGGCCTGGTTTGATTTCTAGTGAGCTTTCGAATAACTGAATTTGCATCTGGACTAATTAGAATGCGTTGAGCAACAATATACACTTGTTTCATGGCTACAGCTATGACAAGTCATCAAGCTGCCTTCGTCCTAGTGTCAGCAATTTGGTCGGTTAAGAGAGCCGATGCGCCGACATCATCTCTGCTTATGCGGGGTCTGAGCTGTATTCGGAATCTATAACACTCAACCGTGCGCCATATGAGGGGATCTTACAACGCGCTAATGTTGTAGAGGATGGATGTTTCTCTCTCTACCTCTGAGCACATCAGGCAGCAAGAGGTCTGAGCTATTGCCTGAGCCAATAAACCTAGTTTGTTGCGAGATTAACAGCGGAGTCAGTTAGACTCGTCATGGTATCCCGAACCTACAACAACAATTAAATATCACTTGTTGCCAGAAAATTTTTGGAGACTGCTAACAACATGTCTTCTTTACCGGCCATGAGAACTAGCCCTCGCTTCATCTTCTTTACGGACTTCGACGGCACAATAACGCTACGCGACTCAAATGATTTCTTGACAGATAATTTTGGTTTCGGGCGCGAGCGTAGGGTGCAAGGGAACCAAGATGTACTTCACGGGAAGATGAGTTTTCGGGAATCTTTTCAAGAAATGCTGGACTCTGTAACAAAACCCTTCAACCAATGTATTGAAGCATTACTAGAGAATATTAAGTTGGACCCTCACTTTTTGGATTTCTACGAGTACTGCGCGAGTGAGAACATTCCAATCGTGGTTTTAAGCGGAGGTATGGAGCCAGTCATTCAGGCTCTACTAGAACATCTCATCGGAGGAAAGGCTCATAACATACAAATTGTCAGTAATCAGGTCAAACCGCGGAATGGAAAAGATATCAACGAGGAAGGCGGATGGGATATTCAGTATCATGATGATAGGTAATAAGGATCAGACACGCTGATAACCCGAGCATTACTGATACCAAATAGTCATTATGGGCACGACAAGAGCTTAGAAATCAAGCCCTACGCAAAGCTACCTAGCGATATCAGACCAACTCTATTTTATGCTGGTGACGGAGTATCAGACATTTCCGCAGCTCAAGAGACCGATTTGCTTTTTGCGAAAAAAGATTATGGTAAGTTTTACTATCACGAATCATGCTGAAACTTCTAAAATTCTATCCAGATCTTGATAAGTACTGTAGCAAGCATGGTTTACCAGCAGTTTTATTTCGTGACTGGTCGACTATCTTGTCAACAGTTAGGAGCCTTAGCTCTGGCGAGACAACATTAGAGAAAATAGTTGCAGACCTCCAAGCAAATTAAGATAATTTTAGATTTACTTGTGCCCAGGTGGTTATTGCGCGAATCCAGCATAGGTCGGGGAGAAAATAAACCAAAATGCTATATTCTCAAGCTATTCAAGATACAAGAAATTAGAATGTTAAATAACCCCTTTTTTCACAACTTAATCATCTGATCAAGAAAAGATGTACGATCTAGCTGCTAAAGCACTTGTGATGAGCTACGATTAGTCACACCTTAACTGTAATTTTGAAGAGAAATAGGATACATCGGTGCATTCACGACAGATTAATTTTACCATTGGGAAAGGTATTATTATTGTTATTACAGTTTTACTGTTCTATTTCAGTCTATGACTGTGTAGGACATAAACTTTGGTGTAGGTGAAACATAGGCGAATTGAGATTGATTTTGTTAAAGGTTGTGAAGAATTGATGTGGTATTAGATCTTGTGATGAACCTTACATCATAGACGCATATTCCCTGTAGTAAAGCAAGGCTTGGATAATAATTAAACTTATCCAATGCGTCATTACTAATCCAATCCTTGAAGCCAGAGATATTTGTCATTTATTCGTGACGAAGACCAGCTCGGACCAATCAGTGATGTAGATTTGTAACGACTTTCGCTTTGTCAGAAATCCTCAGCAACACATCAACTTTCATCACATCCTAATAGTCAGGTTTTAACATCCGCAATGGCCTCGCTCCAAAGAACGTCGTGCCGCATGTTACGGACACTGCGGCATCGCTCGATAACTTCAATACCTGTCCGCACCATCTCCTCTTCAGTAACGAGACCCGAGGCGAGCTATTATGAGTCGCCCTTCAAGGGCGAATCAAAAACGACGCAGATTCCAAATTTTAGCAAATACAAAAGTGCTACCGGGACAAATAGCAATCTAGTCTTTCAGTACTGTGCGTCCCTCAATGCAGGATAAATTCTAGGTGTCTGCGAGAATGCTTCACTTCTATCAGATCCTGATAAATGAAAGAGCCTAGCCAATATACTAACTAGGAGTAGTTATGGTTGGAACGATGGGTGCTCTAACGGCCGCCGGAGCTAAGGCTACTGTACAAGGTTGGTACTCTTCATCAACATCTAATTCTCAAGTAAATTAGGATCGGGGGGGATGAATTAATTGAAAACCTTGATGCTTCTGAACTGTCCTTCAGAGAAAATTTATTAACATGTGCTACGTTCCATAGATTTTCTCGTCAACATGTCTGCCTCAGCTGATGTTTTGGCTATGGCTAAAGTCGAGGTTGATCTTGCGGCGATACCCCAGGGCAAGAACGTATGTAGTCAAGATATGATGCTGTCGATGTTTAACAATTTCAGATGCTCATAAAATGGCGTGGAAAGCCTGTTTTTATACGTCATCGAACCCAGGCAGAGATTGACGAGGCCAACTCAGTGGACTGGGAGAAATTGCGCGATCCTCAAAAAGACGAAGACCGTACGAAGAACCCGGAATGGCTTGTGATGCTTGGTATGTTTAGCTTTTACGATTTCACGTATTATCAAGAACAGCATTGCTAATTATACAAGGTGTTTGCACACACTTGGGATGTGTTCCTATTGGCGAAGCGGGTGAATACGGAGGATGGTTCTGTCCTTGTCACGGTTCTCATTATGATATCTCTGGGCGTATAAGGAAAGGTCCAGCGCCCTACAACCTAGAGATCCCTTCATATGATTTCCCAGAAGAAAATTCGCTCATTATCGGTTAAAGAAATATATACGAGATACACACCAGTCAAGCGGTACTCATGAGAACCCGGAGTTACAAGTTTCTGTGTCCATTCTTAGGCTACCAAGATTTTGTAAAATAGTCGTAGGCAGATCACAATACTACGAGATTCAGTTATCAGCACTACAGTGGTTATGTTTTCCAATTATTGTGTAAGATAGGTTATAAATCTGTATCAAATTTGGCGAATTCAGGACTATCACAGAAAATTTTGCCCGTTTCATCTCCTGTCATCACCTGTTGATCATGCCTCCCATCAAGCACCGGCGCTTAAGTATCATCACTTTTGAAGCTGAATGATTACGCACACTATTCTGGCATAAATAACACACAGTCATAATTGCTTAATCATAGGAAGTGATACAATACCCCTTTAGCATGTCAGTGCAGACATCCCTGCTCCTTACTTGTATCAAGCCATCATAGAATCCTCAGTGACCATGGCCGTCATCTTCTGCACGCTGCTCTGGATCCAGCTTGATCATTGTGTCTATCCGCATTATAGCGATGCATGCTTCGACTGCGCTCTTCAATTGACGAATTTTGCTCATGCTAGGTTCCAGAACGCCCATTTTTATCTCATCAACTACTTTCCCCTCTGCTAGATCCAATCCGTAGTTTTTATAGTTCTTTTTCTTTGCAATGGTTTTTTCATCTTCACTAGCATCTCCATCCTGGATTCGTTGTGAAAGTGCATGCCGGGAACGAAGCTGTGCCACAAGTTCAGAGGAATCCTTGGCCGCGTTGATCGCCAATGTCTTAGGAATGACGAGTAGGGCTTGGGCGAATTCGCCTATGGCTAGCTGCTCCCGGGACCCTACTGTGCCAGCGAATTCCTCGAGATATATGTGGAGTGCAGTCTCCACAGCACCACCACCAGGAACAATACTGCCACTTTCTAAGGTTCGCTTGACGGCACAAAGGGAATCGTGTACCGATCGTTCCATTTCGTCAAGTTGATAATCATTTGGACCACGGAGAATTATTGACGCAGACGTGTGAACTTTGGTGCCTTTTACCATGATACATTCATCATCTGAAATTCTCTCTTGGCTTACCTCTTCCGCATATCCCAAGGAGGATGCCTCGAATTTTTCGTCGCCATTTAAGTCAGAAAGGGTACTGATCAGAGTAGCACCAGTAGCTTTTGCAATCCTTCGAAGATCCTCCTTCTTACATCTCCGTATAGCCATGGCATCTTTCTCGATAAATTGTTTGAGAACCAGATCGTCGATGCCTTTTGTAGTGAAAATTACATTGGCACCAGCTTTTAGAATCATATCGACTCGGTCCATAACCATCCCAGCCTCGCGCTTCCTGATCTCCTCTAGCTGTTGCGGGTCATCAATTGTAATGTGAACTCCGAGCTTCATTCTCTGTTTTTGTAGATTCATGTCCAGCACAGCAATCTTGGCGTCTGTAATTCTGGTTTTCATCGCCTGCGATGCAACTGTGCAGTTTATAGCATATCCCTTCACAAGTATAGACTCTAGAGAGCCCTTTCCATGCGCTTTGAGAAGATTAACGGCTTTTACGGGATATTTGACTTCTTGTCGGTTGTTAGTCGATTTTACTGCCTGCATGGCGTCTACCACCATGTTCGCGAAGAAATCTGAGTCCGATCCAATTATTTTGCTGGATATAGATGTTTTTGCTATGTTAATTAAGGAATCTCTTCCTAAATTATCCACTTTAATACTTATATTTTCATGCATGTATTTGATAGCTTCGCGGAGAGCTAAGCGGTAGCCAGTTATAATTGTGGTCGGATGTATTCGATTTTTCATTAGTTCGTTTGCTCTTCGTAAAAGTTCTGCCGCAATTAGAACGACTGATGTTGTTCCATCACCAACTTCTTTGTCCTGCTGTTGCGCTAAATCGACTAGAATTTTGCCCGCAGGATGTTCGACATCCAATAAGCTGAGAATGGTAGCACCGTCATTGGTAACTGTAACATCCTACGGATGGTTAATGACTTTACAATTGAGTGCTAGGCAAGGATGCTTACACCTATGTCGTCCACCATCATCTTGTCTAGACCGCTAGGGCCAAATGAACTCCTTACCACATTGGCAATAGCCTGAGTGGCAAGAACTAACAATATAATCAGCTATCTCTCCATATAGAAGTGCTAACAGCGCAGCTGTACCATTCTGGTCCCTCACATCGGATCCGCTTATTTTCGTGCCTCCTAAGACTTCTTTTTGTTAGCTTTAAGATATATGCAACTTGTAGGAGTATATACACAAATTTCCCGCGTTTCTTGGTTGTTCAAAAAGAGATCCCATATTGAGATTCAATGGTTGTAAGCGTACCCCGGATCAAATTTTCAAATCGGCGCGAACAACTCGTGGTGGAAGTCTGACGCTAGTGGATAGGCACGCGCAGGCCCGCGCTTTTTCTGCCCTTTGACATCCACTCGGTATGTATACAACCCTGTAGCTGTAATATTTGGGCAACGAATTATGTTCACGTTATTATTTTCTATTTTTATTTTTTCTCAGTCCATGAGTATATTGAACATGAGTACCCTTTCCGATTATAGGTCAAGGTAACTATTTCAGCTATGTACCCCCTGCCATGCCTCCTACACAGCTCTCCTCAAACAGCACTACCCCTCACATGTCCTTATTCGATCACACACTTAGAGGAGCCCTTTGCACTTCATTATCTCCCTCTCCAGCCAACGAAACGATGATCATTTGCGGGTGTATGGAAGCCGGGAAAAATCGCTAAAACCACTGGGTGCCGGGCTCTCCAAACATCGACATTAGGGCTAAATCCGAAGACAGAGTGACCATTCTGAAGCGTTCGAAGAGACCGGCCAGTTGGGCACTGCAGACTTGTGGGTACCTCGGGAAATTCACACTCTACCCTTCTAGCCCCCTTTCAACTCCTTCCCGTAAGTTGTGCTGAAATGTCTGAATGTCTTGGTAGAGCTTGATTGCCACATGATAGCTTAGCCCAACTTAATAATGTGCCGCCCAGAGCCCTGGGGAGTGACATAGGCTCATTGACAACAGAAATCCTCCTGGCTATTAGCTTGTGTTTATACTAGACAACTCTACTAATATAATTCATAAATACCACTTGAGTTTGATACTAATATCCTGATTTGGAGCCCCATGGATCCAAGCAGGTTTCTACGGACTGTAATATTTACAAGGGAGGAAACCTACGTAGTAAAACTCACCCAGATCTTTCTGTACGTTGCCTTTGTTTACCGCAATCATATTCTTCAGGAAGCGCAGTTACGTAATTGTGACATCCATGTATGTCAACTACATACTGTCTGTAAACCCCAATCTTTGTCCGCATGTTTCTTTCACTCAGCAGCATTTCGACCGCCTTTGCATCTGGAATTGCTCAAACCACCAATCATTTAGGATCCACTGTGTCATCCTTTTAATGTCGCCAGGATTTTTTATCACAGCTTAGCAGGACCGATCTTTAGCTTGTCTTCAGACCTCCGCTGTACCGTTAGAACATAACGGACAGGACATAATTATGACTATTTTATTCATAGTGTATTTAGCTACATCACATAATCATGTTGTGGTTGTCATAGAGTAGATGGTTGCACTTGATTGAGTGGTTCAGTGGGTAGATGGATTTGTTACTGTTGTTGTTCTCTACCCAAAGTGGTGACACAAACCTATGACGGAGTATACGGGGCTGCCTACCTGGCCTCGTACCATTACATTACGCCGGAGGGCGAAGACAGAGTACCTACAAGTCGTATCATTTACGGACAAGGGAATTAAATACCCTCCCAGAACCAAGTGTCAGTGACGATATAGGGTGTATTCAAGAGGTTTTGACGACAAGGCGATCGGGATGAGCGGTAATGGCAAGTCTTTGGTCGGAATCCGATCTGCAGAGACTTCACGACCACACAACACGACGAATCTAATAACCTGCTCCCCATATTTGAACCATAGACAGGATTAAGCTTCTCTGATTTTCATAATAAAGCAACCGACTACACACTACAGTTAGACCCCTGTTAATACGATGTAATCGGGGCCATGAAAAATATCGTCATATAGAGGATATCTTTTAAAAGTATACGATTACCTAATACAGCTATCTAGACTACTTTGTAATTTTGATGCCTTTTTTACACTCCCCATGGCCGTCTTCTATCGCTCTAATACTCTCAAGGTCAGGCCAGTTTCCAGCTCGCTGTCATATCGCAGTAGTACTCGTAGCTTCGTGGAGTTTCGCAAAGATCTTGTTTACGGACTCGGAGAGTGTGGATTGGCTTAATCGATGGCCGTACTCAGCGAAAAACCATTCAATGTACTGTTTTTGTGTTGGTTTTGGGACCTGGCGGTGCGTCCGTCGTCGCAGAGCACTTCGTTGCTCTACAGAAATTTACTTTTTTGGCGGCATTGTTAGCACCAATCTAGCAAAAAACCTTGGTAAAGGCGATATTCAGAGGTAGAAGAACGATAATCGTGTAATCGGTAAATGTATGGGAACGAAGTCCGTTCCGGAAAATATATCGTATAAACGGCAATATCGTCTTAACAGGGGTCTGATTGTATTTACACCCGAAGAAGGAAGCAAACCGTAGCGCACAAATCTGGGAGACTATTCTTTGAGATTGACATAGGAGGGATCAGGACAAGTTCAAAAGATGAAGCAGAGGATGGATACATTCTCGACGGGCGTGAAATTTTGAACTTTGGCAAGGAGTATTTACAAATTGAGATTTGTGCGTGCCAATGCTTCGGTTACGAGAGTGCAGGCGACACTATAAACACCGCCAATGATGGATGTTGCGGTGGTACATCGTCTTCGCCGGTCTTCTAATTAGAGTGTGGATAGCTTGGACACATATGCCACACGCGACAGTAGATCGCTGGGTCTTTTTTTTTTTTTTTTGCATCAGATTTTAATTGCGTATGCAGCTATCTAGCTATGACACAATATCAAAGAAAAGTACAGAGTAGATGATTCAACGTGAAGGAAGAGCAATCATGCCTCAGATTTCATTTGCAAGTACCACCGCGAAGTTATGGTGGCTTTTTCTTCACCCCAAAGATCGCTGGGTCAAATCCGGCAAAACACAACCTCATTTCTCGCGGCGCTGGTATACCGTGGTGCCACGGCGTCAAGTTTGCTATGGGGCTTTGCCAGGGTTTTTAGCGTGTAAACTAATATGCCTTAGGCATAGTCACCTTCCATATTGGAGTTAGCCCCCGTATTTGTGCAAATTTTTGAAAAACTGTGTATGGCAGTTTTTATCTGGACAGCATAGGTTGCAGTGGGTCTTTCTTTCGTACCAAACCTAATTTGAATAATGATTGGCTGCATAACATTTGTGCATTTTTGCTACTTGACTTTATAACTTATTTACAAGAGTTCAGAGGTTTTCGAATCACAAAATAGAGCCAGTCTTATCCTAACCTTAGATCTGAACATGTGGCTGGAATATTTTCAGGCCTTAATGTCTGTTCGGTCCCCCATCCGCATCTACCACAGCCTGACATCTTGTTAGCATACTCTGAATGAGTCTCACAAGATCTTCGGAAGACACGGAATCTCATGCCTCCTTTACAATGTTGCGAAGACTATCTTGAGTTCGCTGCTTTCCGCAACCCAGATTCGGGTGATGACGCTGGATGTAATCCTTCATCTTATTCCAAACAGCTTCAATCGGGTTAAGATCAGGCGAGTTGGCCAGCCAGAAAATCGGTTGAACGAGCCTCTGGCTCATATCTTCCATTGTACTTGCTGCTGTGTGGGCAGGAGCATTATCCTGCATTACGGAAAGCCAAGGTCTCATCGAGACAATGCCATTAATAAGAGGAACTATCTTCTCGCATTATTTTTGGGAGTTAATGGAACTCCATTCCTTCTCCCAAAACAAACAAGGGTCTTTTTTCTAGCCCTGAGAAGCAACCCTAGAAAATCCGTCCGACCCTATTCTTCGGGTTTTCTCCAACACAATCAGCGTTGTATTCTTGGGAAGTTTAGCTCATAATGTTAGAGCATCAAATCATCATCTTCTTATTAAGGAATGTACGAACACTTCTTGTCACCCATTCTCTAGAATGTCTTCCATCCTCTACCCAAGTTTTGTCTGTCCATAAAACTGACGTCCAGTCTTCATATGTCCCATTGAGATGTGCTTCGGCCCATTCTCTGCGTGTCTTTATAGTTTTTTGAGATACTGGAGGCTTTAAACGAGCAAAATGTGGCTGATATCCTTTTTTTTAAGTTCTCTTTGTAGTACCCGCTCGCTAACACCAAGATGTCTAAAGGGGCCAGAGGCGAGTTCCAGAAATGTTTTGCGGCGGTTTCCAGGTGAAGACTTAACGTAAGATGTAATCTGATCAATATCATCTGCTTTCAGTCTTGAGGATGTTCTTTTTCTCTTTTTGGGGGAGACAGTTCCGCGGCGCAGTGAATAACTAACTTGTCTCCGAGAAATGCCTAGTTGCGGGGCAATCTGCGTCTGGTTTTTGCCAGATTCATGAAGTCCATAAATCTTAATTTTTCTTTTCTTTTAATTTATATTTGTTCATATCTAATTCTTATACTTACTAAAATGTTTTGATCTCTGGATAATTGTTTGATTCGAGGTGTTGAAGGTAGGGTTTGAGGTGGATTCATCTGTAAAATAAGGTTATTATCGAGTAAATCCATATGACTTCTGAATAAATAACTTTGTATTTGAGAAATCTAATTCTTATTGTAACTCAAGCACAAGGTGAGAAGAGCTGTGTGATTTTTAGCGGTCGGCGCTCATCAAAGCAATGGGAAAGAACTAGAGAGCGGGTTGGCTTTGCATAAAACTGAGGGTGACATGAAATCAAATTGTGCCCTCGGTTTAGGCCTGGAAATACAGGTCAAGAATTATGTACCCTGTTGTAATTGGCTCTAACAGGGGTGCAGCCACCCTAGCTAATATGCGCCCCATATAAATCCACTGAAAACTTGAGATCGCGGCATCACGGTAGTAACAATAGCACCTCAGAAGGTATAAAGTCCCATGCATCCTGAAGCAATGTCTTCAACGTGGCAGAGCGCACAAGCCTGACCCCATTTTTCTCTGGACTATTTACTTGAATGTGGTTTTTAAAGATATTCCACAATGACTCGATCGGGTTCAGGTCCGGAGAGTAAGGTGGCCATCTAATAGGCGTTATTCCAACTACACGCAGCGCCACAATTGGTGAGTACGATTTATGACATGGTGCGTTGTTGTGCATGCATAGAATTTCTTGATTTTGCGAGTGAAATTGATTCAAAAGCGGCAAAATCCTTTCACAAAAGGATGAGGCCCTCATTTATCCCCAATCCTTCTCCCAGACTAGGAATGGGCCTTTTTGTGATCCATAAAATGATCCCCAAAACATCCTGCTGTTCCCATGAGTATGGCGAGCCACAATACAAGTCTCATCAAACTCATCATCAGGCTAAACTCTGCTGCTAGTACAAGGAAGATTTAGATTGAATTTAAACGTGCTTTTCTTGTGACACGAGGTTTTATATGAGAATCACTCGATGCCCAGGTTTTATCAGTCCATAATATGCGACTCCATTGTTCATCGCTCCAATCTAAACGTAATTGGGCGAACTCCAATCTTTTCTGCTTGTTCACCGCGCTTAACGGAGACTTCTTCCGAGTAATGCATCTGCTGTAACCTCTTTTTTTCAGTGCGTTAGAAATTAAACGTTCACTGCATCTCCAGTGGCTGAAGGGCCCCATGGCTAGTTCCAAATAGCACATCTGTCGATTCTCACGAGATTCCCAGACAAAGCCTCATGCTCATCAGCTTGATCCGCGCTTAATTTTGGTAAGGGTCATTTGCGAGACGTAGGATTCTCAGTCTCTCGAGCACATGCAAGTTGTACTTGTCTTGTTGTGAAGCCAAGTTTGTCGGATATATTTTGAAGTGTCAAGCCAAGTCTTCTTAATGCTCTTATTTCGATACATTGATCGCGAGTTAGATACTTGCGAAATTCAGTTTCTGTAGCAGACTTTTCGAGAGACGTTTTTTGCTAGAATAGGGGATGAATTGATAGTGGTGAGAATTTTCATTGACTATGTAGGTCAGGCAGCCAAAAATGTCGTTGAGAATGTGTTTTTCTAACCGAATACTAGAAGAAGACGATTGGACCATACTTCATGGCGAGCGGGGTAAGGAGAGACATACTAACCTATTACGAGCTAGCCCAGCTGCGCCTACAGGGCCCATCCCTTAAACAGCCCAATTTGAAGCTTTACCTTTTCCAACCCAGTGGCACTGTAAAGCTATGCTTTCCATATTGGGTCGAGGATAGGTGGAGCCGACAGGGTTCCCTGTAATATTTTCTACAGCCTAACTCGTTCCAGCCTCGTAAATCGCTATCAAAAGTGCAGCTGATTAAACTGAAATGAAAAATCAAGAAAATCCAAACTCCGAAAAACAGAAGGTTCCTCCATATTGGACCCAGTCAATGTGCTCCTCACACATTCCCTCATCCATCATAACTTCCAAATGACAAATTTACTTAATCTCCGCTGAGAGCAAGAGATGAGTTAGCAGGCACCTTTTATCCAGCCGGTATCCTGCTATTAGTTAGTATATGCCCCAAAAGGGACATCGTCGAGGTTGCTGTGTCCTCAAACTTCTTCTTCAGATCCCAGCACTCCGAAACCTGTTGCCGCGGCCACAGAGACATTCTTCGCCGATGCGATAATCACCTCCTCGGCCCTTTTGGCTGCTGCTAGAGCTCGTGCCACCTTCGCGAACTCCCTTTGTTCGATGTGGCGGATCCACGCGAGCTGCTCTTTTGTCACCGGCCGAGATTATCTGGGTCTGACTTGGCTGTCCCGAGAATCTGATCGGTGGGGTCCCCCACAGCTGCGACACTTAGTGAGGGCCTTGCACTCGGCTTCCGAGTGCATGTTGGAGCCGCAGTTCCAGCAGGCTGGAGCGCGAGAGCAACCACGAGTGGCGTGAAAGCCCAAATAGCGTTTACACTGTACAATTTGGCGACGAGACTTGTGAATGGTAGCCTTACCAGAATCGTCCAAGAGGCGGAAGCCCGCACGAGGGGTGTTGTCCCGTGTAAAAAGGGCATGCCAGTTTTGATACGGTGCCCCAGTTCGACATGTCCCATGAGGTCGGACCTGGATTGGAATCGCGCCGGTCGTACCGAGGATCTTGGCAGAGACCCAGCTAGCATCGACCGCCCTGGGGTCGCACACTGTAACTATACTTACAGGTACGTTCGGTATCTGTAAGGCGACATTATCCGAAGATGGCTCGAGTTTGATGTTTTGACTCGCCAGCTTCGAAGAACCATCTAAAGTCTCTTGTCGTGTTTTTTCGTTCTTTGCTAGCATAGCAAAGCCCATTCTCACTCGGTGGAGTGAGGTAATTTCTTGGTTAAAGTAGCCGAATTTATGATCCAACTTAGTTCTCACGCTGCTTGTGGACAGTTTTCGCCACGGGTGGTCCCTTTCAAGTTGAAAGAACAGTCGCCTGTCGACTTTCGCCTTGGGGTTTTCTTTTTGTTGGGCTTCGGCCGCAGGTCGCGGCACAGCCTTTACAGTTGGGACTGCTTTTTGTTGCAGTCAATTTCTGGCCACTGTGGCCCAGGTGCTTTTGACAGGCAGAACTGGGACGGCGGGAGTTGTGTTACTCCTGGCTTCGGGAGCCCTTGGGAGAGGGATCGTCGGGCGAGGAGGGAGAACGGGTGGCGTAGTGGCCGGGCCCGAGGCTATGTATTGCGCAATGGCGGCGCGTAAGTAGACTCTCATCGAGTCTACGAATTGTCTATTTGACCCGTTGGTCAAAGGGAGGAGGGTGGCTTCGACGCCAGAGATGGCGGCGGAGCAGAGGGCCAGATTTGCCGCTGTTTCGGCGGCGCGTCGTTGTTCAGCTTTGACTATTGGTCGAAGCTCGAGGGGACACTCTGCTTTCGTGGCAGCTTTGGGCTGCGACGTTGATGTTGACGCTGCTATGGGTGCAGCGTTTTCCGACGGTTTTGACACGGTCGGAGGTGGTTTGGATGATTCTCCAATCCCGTGGGGGACGGAGGGTCGTTGAGAAATTTCCTCAACAATCTCGACTGACCAGATCATATCAGTATCGGGTTCAGTGACGGCGGGGAGGGCTTTTTCCTTCCCTTTGATTGAGACCTTGCTCATCTCCTCGCATTTGGGAGACTGGGCAACGCCAGGTACTTGTTCGAGAGCCCTCGGGTGGACTCTGGTGTTGTCCAACTTGGCGTTAATTTACATATAATTTGAGTCTATGACTATAAAATACAACTTAGCGCTGGGACGCTTTTTTCGAACAGGTGACATGGAGAAAATGCCAGTGACTCGATCATAATAATCTAATAGAATGCGACGAGCGCGAGAGGGAGGGAGAGGGGGAAAAAGGGAATGAAATCTGGAGCATGAGTGTATCCAACGTCAAATGAGTCATCAAAGGTGTATACACAGCTACAGTTATGTGTCACAGCTGTATAGCTGCACACACATTAAATGATTTTGAAAAAAAAACTACATAGTCAAGTTAGTGACAAATCCTTGCTTATCCTTAACAAAATTGAGGTTAGTTATGTATAGAGCGAACTACTCTTAGTAATTCATCAACAGTAGGGCCCAAGATCATGTATCACGTGCGAGTCTCCCCTCTGAGCGCGACTGTAGAGCTAGTATTGCACGTCATACTGTCGCTATGACACTCGGCTGGGTTAGCCATCTTAAGCCGAAGTTACAACGATTATAAGATCTAATCACAAGCCATATTTCTAGCGGCCGACAAGATGTCAGACAGCCTTCAAACAGTACCCGTAAAACATTTCTGCCTTACTGACAAACTCACGAAATTCCAAAGAGATGTATGCAATTACGAAAGGCCTGCGGCAGATAATACGTCGACCGAAGAGTATCGGAATTGATGTGAGGGCTAGGAGAGCAAAAATCCAGTAAGAATCATGATTTTCGTGGTCTAAAATTGTCTAAGACGTGTAGATTAAGAGTACTGTCTGTAGCTCCCCAACGCTGCAGTAACATTATTGATACTCTCGGGATCTATGCACCGAGCACCCAACTATCCGAGACTGAAGTGGCCATGGCAGATACCGTATCTAAATTTGCTGCCGACATAATTAGGCCTAGAGTACGGGCAATGGATGAAGAAGAAGCTATGGATCCAATGATAGTTAAGCAGTTGTTTGAAAAAGGTCTTATGGGAATTGAGATTCCTGAAGAATATGGCGGTGCTGGCATGAATTTTACTGCCGCTATTGTAGGCATCGAAGAGTTAGCTCGTATTGACCCTAGCGTTAGTGTGCTAGTTGATGTGCACAACACTCTCGTTAACACTGCGGTACTCCAGCATGGTAGTGATGAAATGAAGAAGAAGTGGTTGCCAAAGCTTGCAACAAGCACAGTTGGAAGCTTCTGTCTGAGTGAACCCACTTCAGGCTCTGATGCTTTTGCCCTGGCCACAAAAGCAGAGAAAAACAATTGTGGGTATAAGATTTCTGGCAGTAAGATGTGGATCACAAATGCAATGGAGGCAGAGTTTTTTATTGTATTTGCCAATCTCGATCACCAAAAGGGTTACAAGGGTATTACGGCATTCATTGTTGAGAAGGGCATGAAAGGTTTTTCTGTCGCGAAAAAAGAGAAGAAATTGGGAATAAAAGCAAGTAGCACCTGTGTGCTCAGCTTTGACGACGTTCAAATTCCTCATCATAATCTTCTCGGGGCTGAAGGTGATGGCTATAAATACGCTATCGGCATATTGAATGAGGGTCGAATAGGGATTGCGGCCCAAATGACCGGTCTAGCACTTGGTGCTTTTGAGAACGCAGCAAGGTAAGTTTTACCCATCCTAAAACATTCATATTAAAGAAATTTAGGTACGTATGGAATGATCGAAAGCAGTTTGGGCAGTTTGTAGGAGACTTCCAAGGCATGCAACACCAGATTGCGCAATCATACACAGAAATAGCAGCTGCTCGAGCTCTTGTTTTCAATGCGGCAAGAAAGAAAGAACTTGGCGAAAGTTTTGTGCAAGATGCTGCCATGGCGAAATTGTTCGCGTCGCAAGTTGCCCAACGGGTGAGCGGGCAAGCTATAGAGTGGATGGGTGGTATGGGATTTGTAAGGGAAGGAATAGCAGAGAAAATGTGGAGAGATAGCAAAATTGGCGCTATCTACGAAGGTACAAGCAATATTCAGCTACAAACGATTGCAAAGATCCTCAAAAAGCATTATCAGAACTGACTGAGCTGTAAACTAAAGGTGTGAAAGACCACCTGCAATACACTTTAAATGGACTAGTAATTAGCTTTTTTACAATGACTAGACCAATATTGTGAACTTGTGTTGTCGTCAATTTACTGCAATGTTATGTAGGTGTGCCTGTTGTAGGGGATCCAGGAGTCTGTTCGCTCCTACTATGTTCAAAAAGTTCCGAATGTAATAGAATATCCCGCATTTCTAATTCATCGGACAATTCATGTACATCGAAGTATTACTTGGTAACATTCTTTTTATACAGCTTCATACGATTCTTGAAATAAAATAACGGATTTAAATTTACATTTTGCACGCAGGGTCTTGATAACCATATGAAGTGAAGCCCCGCACCAGTCGGTAGTAGCTAACAACAAACTTGGGTCTAGCACTTTTATCTCAGTCTCAATAGCATTTCTGGTTAATCTTTCCGTATTTTAATAGATATATCAACTGACTGGTTGATCAGTTAATCCTTCATTAGTGGGTAAAGGAGCGCCAATCATTTCTATGTGACAGTTATAAAAAAAGCTCAATACCTCACAACTATTTTCATATTCGGGATAATACTGGTCTGATGCTTCTCGACGAAATATGTTTGTGTATATTAACAGGAGTCCAGTTGTCATTTCTTATCAAGACACCCTCGCCCAAATCCAGCTTCAGAAGCGCCCCACCTCGTTAGAAGAGATCTCTCTGGCGGGCTAGGACTTGATCGCAAATACATCGAATTTATAAAAACAGTTACCCATCGCCATCATGAATAACGACGATGAGGCTCTTTCCCTGGTATTCAAGAAGATTGAACGAGAGCGGGCGCTACTCAACGCTGCGAATCAAATGCGTCAACAGACACAAAATGAACAAGTCAAGGCACGACTAGACACCCAGATGCGGGAGGGTCGCAGAAATATTCAGTATCTCGAGGAACGTATGCAAGAGCTTCAGATGCGTAAGATGGGACAGGATATGGAGAACATGAACCTTAGTCCCGTAGGAACTGGTCCCGGAAGGCGCGCAAGTGAAGGATATGACGGTAGATCAGGTCCATCTACACCGCTTGCCAAGAGTCCTCGAACTCACATTGATGCTGGGCAGGGCACTAGCTATGGTATGCAGGAAACAGGTGGGAGTCAGGGTGAGTTGATGCCCTCGCGGCATCCATTTGCTCCGCCAGGTCCCAGCTCGTCGCTGCCAAAGCGGCCAAATTACACCAAACTAGGTAGGTAAATGAGAAGAATGACAATTGATTTAATGCTAAATTATATAGATTTGATAAAATATGATACACCTTTTCTTGGGCCTCGAATCCAACTCATGCTTTCGCAAATCGAATTTAAACTCAATGTTGAGAAGCAGTACTTAAAGGGGATCGAAAAAATGGTTCAGCTGTATGCTATAGAGGGAGATCGAAAGAGTCGCGCTGATGCCGCTGGGAGAAGAATTGAGAGTACACAAAAGATTCAAATCCTTAAGCAGGCGCTCAAGAGATATGAAGATCTTCACATTGACATGGAAAGCTCGGCTGATGCACCTGATGGTATGAATAAGTTTACTGTGCTAAAATTGTTCTAATACATTGGGGGTAGATGATAGCATAAACACACCGAACTTACGAAAGCCTCTAACCGGACAACTTTCTATTAGAATACTAGCAGTTAAGGATGTGGATCACGCAACAACCAGTCGGTTCGCTAGGGGCCCTGAAACTTTTGTAACCATAAGGGTCGAAGATAATGTTGTCGCTCGTACCAAAATATCTCGTAACGACAAGTGGGAAGCTGAATATCACAATATAACTGTGGATCAAGCTAACGAAATCGAACTTATTGTATATGATAAGCCTACTGATCACCCTTTGCCAATGGGTTTGCTTTGGATTCGACTATCTGATATCGTAGAAGAGATGCGAAGGAAGAGAATTGAAGCCGAAATTAATAACTCTGGATGGGTATCTGCAGATCGTATGGGCAGCGGAAGTTTACCTAGCTCAGCGCCTCCTCAATTCCCATTAAGTCCTTCTCACGCAACGTTTACAGCGAACCCTGGAAGTGTAGTTGTGGCCGAAAACCCTGCTTTAAGTGGATCTATGGTTGCATCTCAACCAATCGATGCTTGGTTTGCCCTTGAACCTACTGGTGCTGTCCAGCTGAGCATTAATTTCACAAAACAAATCAAAGAGAAAAGAGGCTTCGACGCTGGCCTCAATCGAAAGGGCGCTATTCGTCAACGGAAAGAAGAAGTCCACGAAATGTACGGCCACAAGTTTGTTTCACAGCAATTCTACAACATCATGCGCTGTGCACTATGTGGGGATTTTCTCAAGTACGCTGGTGGTATGCAATGCGAAGACTGTAAATATACTTGCCATACCAAATGTTATACTAGCGTTGTGACAAAATGTATAAGCAAATCCAACGCAGAAACTGATCCAGACGAGGAAAAGATAAACCACCGTATTCCACATCGCTTCGAAAAATTCTCCAATATGAGTGCTAACTGGTGTTGCCATTGCGGCTACATCCTGCCGTTTGGGAAAAAGAATTGTCGAAAATGTTCAGGTAATCTACAATCTATGCACATGTCCGGCTCAGTTGCTAATATCCTCCAGAATGTAATCTGACCTGCCATGCTCAGTGCGTACATCTTATTCCGGACTTTTGTGGAATGTCAATGGCTGTAGCCAACGTGATAATTGATGGTATAAGAAATCAAAAACGCCGACAAACTGCGCAAGTTCCCTCGGTCGGGCAGAGTAAGCAAAGCCAATCTGGAAAACCAACTGCTTCTTTGGTAGAAAATTTTGGGCCTGGGTCTCGTGCGTCATTTAGCCAGGAACCACATCGTTCTACACAGTCAGGATCTTATGGGTCTGCCTCTTCTTCAACAGGTGCAGCTGAAGCCGCAAAAGTTATGTACAACCAGGGTCATCCATCTCAAAAGAGATTATCGGCGCCAAATCCAGCTTTAACTTCATCAGCTACGGCAGCTGCAGCTGCAGCAATGTCTGGAACAAAGATTCCTAATACACGTGAATCATTTTCAACTCCCCCTACTGATTATTCACAGGCTGGAAGGTCCTCTGCAACTAATTATACCGGTCACTCTAGCCCCCGTACGGATAACAATCTCTATAATGCAACTTCAGTACCACAATCACCATCTCAAGTCAGTTATAATCCAGCTGCGTACGCCCAAGTCAGTGGATACCCCACACAACCTCTTTCCCCAGCCTATGTGCAGCAACATCCCTTACCCAGTAAAAATTTATATGGTTCTGAAACTCAAAATAAAGCGCCTATCTCTGAGCCTTCATCTTCTCATACGCCCACCGTGTCACGTAAAGCAGCTCCTCAAGCTAATGAGCCTGGGACTGGTCGCAGAATTGGCCTCGACCACTTCAACTTTCTAGCTGTTCTCGGTAAAGGAAATTTTGGTAAGGTTATGCTTGCAGAAACTAAGTCAACAAAGCAACTTTACGCTATAAAAGTTTTGAAAAAAGAATTTATCATAGAAAACGATGAAGTTGAGAGTACTCGAAGCGAAAAGAGAGTGTTCCTTATTGCAAACAAGGAAAGACACCCCTTCTTGACTAATTTGCACGCCTGTTTCCAGACGGAGACAAGAGTATACTTTGTGATGGAATATGTCAGTGGCGGCGACCTCATGTTACACATCCAAAGGGGTCAGTTTGGAACAAAAAGGGCACAGTAAGTTTAATCATAAAATAACCTCATAGGTTGCTTAATATTTTCAGATTCTATGCTGCAGAAGTCTGCCTAGCTTTGAAGTACTTCCATGAAAATGGAGTCATATATCGTGACTTAAAGTTGGACAATATCTTGTTAACTTTAGATGGACATATCAAGATGGCCGATTATGGACTATGTAAAGAAGATATGTGGTATGGCTCAACAACAAGCACATTTTGCGGTACCCCCGAATTTATGGCGCCCGAGGTACGCAGTAATTTTAGATCTGGAGGCTATTGCTAAATTAAATAGATTTTACTTGACAAGAAATACGGTAGGTCTGTTGACTGGTGGGCATTTGGTGTTCTCATCTACCAAATGTTATTGCAACAATCACCTTTCCGCGGTGAAGACGAAGATGAGATCTATGACGCAATTCTCGCTGATGAACCTCTTTATCCAATCCATATGCCTCGCGACTCGGTATCAATTCTTCAAAAATTGCTCACCCGAGAACCTGAGCAACGTCTTGGAAGTGGACCAACTGATGCTCAGGAAATTATGAGCCAACCATTTTTCAGTAATATCAATTGGGATGATATATACCACAAACGAATTCCAACTCCGTTCAAGCCTTCTATCAAAGATGAAACAGATACAAGCAATTTTGACTCCGAGTTCACTAGTGTAACGCCTGTTTTAACTCCAGTGCAATCAGGTAAGTAGAATTTCTCGAATTTTAAAGATGCTTATGCTAATTATTTGAAAGTATTAACCCAAGCTATGCAAGAAGAGTTCCGTGGATTTTCTTATTCTACTGACGCCATATGAGTAGTTTGTAAGTGATTAAAGAGAATCTTATACCGTTTGCATAATCATACTCAGGTTTTTGCTAGATCTTTAATACTCAAAATGCTTTGCTCCCATATGGGAATATATTGCTCAATTTGAGTGATTCTTTGTCGAGTAAATAGTAAAATAATAATTGAAAAGTAAACGCTCCGACAAATACTGCGATAGTACCCTTTTTTGGGAAGCGAATACAGGATCATTGTTACTATATTATCTCTTGAGACGAATAGATTATCTGGGGATAATGAGTAGGTACTGTCACTTCAATTTAGTCCTCATCAGCAAGGTAGCGAGCGTACACATTCGAGCGAGTAAAAACTGGCCTTTTATCATTCAAAAATCAGGCAACTTTACAAAATGTCTGCTGTGATTTTACGCTCCTTATTTTAAAGCGATGTCAAATGGTGTGATGTATACTCAAAATTTACAAAATTTGGGACTCGAGTTAGTGCTTTAATTATTGTATTAGTCTCAAAGCGGACTTGAAATGAAGCTTCAGCTTGGAACTTATCTCAATTCATAGCAACCCGTTGCCGACAACATGATTTTTTACACAACACAGTCGCCTTCATCACCCCGATGCAGAACTATAATACTCGTCTGGAAAGGGATTTCCGCACAATCCAGTTTTTTTCCGCAGCTGTGAAAGGCTTGAAAGTTTAGTATGGACGTACCTTCAGGCGAAAAACGCAACATTAAGCGAGGGAAGAGGGACTGACTCCTACTAGCTTCTCGTGAAAGCAACTATTCTATGCAACTAATTGTTCACGGTAGTTAACCTTACATTGCGGTATCATTTTTGCAGTAACTTAAGAGACGGAAGATGGCTATTTTCACTGCAACCTTAATCATCAAAAAATCTTTTCGCGGCCACCTAAGTATAATTTAGGTCAAAAAACACTATGTTTATCGTGCATCCAGAACTTCGAATTTACACATGATCACTCACGAATTCGAAAAGCCAAGAATTTTAAGACCTACCAGTTTTATGGTTTTTGTTTAGACATTGCTTTATCCACAAATTTTAGTTTTATTTAACCATTTTTTGTTTTTTAGATCATTTCTAGGTCTAGGCTTGGGTGCGTGTGGGAGCACAATTGCATTTTATAATTGTTTGTACTAGAATGTGGATGGGGCCATAAATATTCTAGAATGATTATAGATGAAAAAAACAGTTATGATGGTTACCGCTATGTATCTCAATTGAGGCTTTCGAGACGAAAGACAAATAAAACACAGGTTTGGTCTCCTTGTGTCATCACTGGTGACTTTTCTTAACTCCATGCCCGACCATCATCGCCTCATCATTGCATAATCGGCAAGAACTTTTCCTTGAACTCCGTGCTTAACAGTCATCGCTTTTAGTAACTTCGACCGAACATACACCACTTTGCAGCTGATGCTTCGCACACAGGGTTCAAGCATTTTGTCTCATTGACGATCAGGCCTTCGGGTTGATCAAATGGAATGCATAAGCTTTTCATACCCATACTTGGCACTTTTTGTTCTTCAGATCCTTCGACGTCTTCTGGCTTGCCCGTTGTCAGCTCTTTGATTTTATCTTCGCAGCCTGACTGCAGGCAATGTGGAATGAGCACGACATTTTTTGTGTCCAAGGCAGGAATAACTTCACTCCATTCTGTTATTTTCATACGATGCGCTGAGAAAGCAGCTTCAGCTTTGGTGTACATGTCTGACTGGATTTTCTCCAGTAGCAAGGGTACCTCTTTGCTTATTTCTGATATAGGCAAAGTAGCTTTCTCACCTGTGTCACGGCGCGCATATGATACAACTGATTTTATAGCATCTTTCGGGCCGTATTCAAGTCGAAGCGGTACACCCTTTAGTTCCCAGTCATTGAATTTCCATGCTGGTGTGTAGCCATCACGAATGTCATAGTCAGCTCTAACACCTGCTTTTTTTAGAGATTCCTTGAAAGTTTGGAGTTGATCGTAATGTTTCGATTTATCCTCTGCGGTGGTAGACTTGTTAATTCCGACGGGGACTATGATTACTTGTAGTCTAGCAATTCTAGGAGGTAATACAAGCCCCTTGTCATCACCATGAATCATAATCATGACACCGATAACCCTAGTAGACAAGCCCCATGAATTTTGCCAAACATGTATGTGTTTTTGATCACCGGCTTCCCGAGAAAATGGATCCTCAACTGTAATGTCAAACATTTTGGAGAAGTTCTGACCAAGGCAGTGAGAAGTAGCCCCTTGAATACCACGACCATTTGATGGTATGTAGCCTTCTACAGTGGTTGTGAAGTAGCTACCAGCAAACTTTTCCTTGTCAGTCTTTCGGCCTCGGACAACTGGTACGGCAAGTAATTCCTCGTATATTTTGGCGTAGAGTTCCAGTATCTGCAAGACTTCTTCTGAAGCCAATTCTTCAGTTAAGTGTGCTGTGTGTCCTTCTTGCCATAAAAACTCTCTGGCTCGCAGAAATGGAGTTGTTTGTTTAGCCTCCCATCGTACCACGCCATTCCATTGGTTCAATCGAAGGGGAAGATCTCGGTGTGATCGAATCCACTTTGAATAGTATGGATACATAACCGCTTCTGACGTTGGGCGAACGGCAACTGGGTTCTCGAGCTCCTTATCACCACTAGTCGAGACTCTATTAGTTTCGATGTGTAGATAGAATAGGCTTCAACTCAACTCACGCTTTCGTGACCCAGGCCAACTCAGGGGCAAAGCCTTCGACATGACTCTTTTCTTTGTCTAGTGATTTCTTAGACAGGAACATTGGAAAACTGGCCTCTTCGACGCCCATGTTCTCGATACGTTCCTGAAACCACTTTCGTATGGTATTCCAAATATACATGGAAGATGGGCGTAGGATGAAAAATCCAGATATTTCGGTATAGTATTCAATCATCTCAGCCTTCAGGACAACTTCCTGGTACCAAGCAGAGAAGTTGTCAGCTTTGGAAGCTGTAATACCGATAATATCATCCTGTTTCTTCGTGCTGCCCGTGACAGGAGGTCCTTTCTTTCCAGAAGCGGCTTTTTCCTTTGCTTTCGTAGCTTTTTTGAGGGACTTTTTAGGAGCTTGTTGAGAGCCGCTCTGGTTGTCAGCCATAGGGAATTTGGTCACAAATCTTCTTCTCGCTGATCTGTCTAATGTAGTTTTGAGTTTTAATTCTGGGTAAGTACTGTGCTGTCGAGTGGAAAAGTGAATCAGACGATAAGTTTAGCACATTAGCATAAAATCAGTGATTCGGATAGAGCGTTACACAAGCACACAGTTAAAGATATTTGAAGAGCTTCAACTAGCCATGTACCAGCCTAGAGAGTAAGAATGTTTCGCGATGGGTGAAGAGTGTGGAGGGGTATTGGGTATGAATTGGATTCGCGCTAAACCCTCAAATTGCGGTAGCTCGGTTATTTAGGATGACATGTTGACTGGCTTTCATAGACTATGGTTTTGTCGCTACTTAAGAATTACGATATGATAAAACAAATCTTATTGTCCTATTTGTTTCAAATATAGTTAAGTGTATGCTGGTCTCTTTGACCTACATTCTAGGAGTGTTGACGCCTACTTGTGACCTTCGTTGTCATGAGTAAAGAAAACTACTCTAGTCACGTGATAATTATTGTCGATAGAGATGTGATGTAATGTTTTTGTTGTACTACTTGAGACATAGACCATCTAATACCTTGGACTCCTATCTGACTCATGACACATCTTATACTGTAGTCCCTGCCTCTTATGTTCCTTGAAAGACCATTGATATATTGCCCTTATTGAATAGCTATTCAGCTCAGTATTTACCCGTGGAATTTGGTCACCTTTTCCACGGAACCTTCTACCTAAAAAATGAAAATGGTAGCAATGGACACTGCGTGCGCGGGAAAAAGTCTTAAAAAACTGCAGACCCAGCCAGGCGAGGCCTAGACACAGGGACAACATGCGGTGCGCATATTCATCTATATCTCCCTTCTTTGTATCAGTCGAGGCCGGCTTGACCCAACACACCATCTCCGTTTCGGGTGCTGGGTACGCTCCGGAAACTCATCGGATGGCTTTTCCTCCATGATCAAGGGTTAGTGATGAGTAGGACTCCGACCCTACCATCTGATCTGATTGCGTTTAGCTTCATGATAGTGGTGATAAGGGAATGTGTTGAGAGATGAAGACGATACAGATCGCGAAAGCGGTTAAGAATTCTCGTCGAATTAAGGACTTCGTTACTCAATCTCGGCCCTGCAGACTCTACAGTGAGAGCGGGAGGTTCGTAGGGGACACCACTGAGGGGTGTTGAGAATAGTCCCCAAACATCACAAGTTGTATGATACTCTTATTACTATTTGATTTGATTTGACCAGTTCAGGTATATAATATTTACACAGGAGGAAACCAAATTCGGTAAAAACCCACCAGAACTGTCTGTCTCGTGTCTATTCGTTATCTGAGATTTCCTACAGGAAGTACGTTTATACTGTTCATCCGTTGTGCATCCCGTCCTATCCCTTTCCTGATCACCTCATCCTTTCAATGACTGCTACCTCAACTTCTTCTGCACGCCGGAACTATTCAAGCTAACTGTTACTAAGTTTCCACTCTGTAATCCTCTTCGTGCCATCCAGGCTGTTCATCATAGCTTCAAAAGACCTATCTTTTGCCAGACGCAGCACCTCTCCTTTTCCCTTAGCCCACTGAGGACAAGCTAGGACCATATATTTCACGTTTTGTGACGGATATCCACACTGTCAATCTGGATTTGCCACTCTGGGGACTTTCCTTCGATACAGATAAGAGTTGAGGCCGATATACTCACTTTTCATCTGTATTGCAATACTGCTTTGGGCCCTGCTTGGGTCTCGGTAGATATTAGAGGGTTTGTTTCTGTAGGTGATTCTTTTTCTGCCTGTCTCTTGGCGGTGATGATACGTGCTGCTTTCCAATGCTCTGGGTCTGCAGACGCCTGATGAGAAGATAGTCGCTCTTCCTTTTAAAGTTTCCATGCGCTTTCCCACTCCTGGAATACTGCCATCTTCCTCGCTTCTTTTTGTCTGTGTCTCAACTTTTCGTTCCTGCTGATTTTTGTCCACTCGTTAGTATCTCGGCTTCGATTGTTGGCGTAGCTATCTTCGCACAGGCTATAAGCCTGCGATATTTTACTATCTGTAGGTAGAATCATCTACATGATAGGTTGTACTTCCGAATATAATTAATTATTTGATTTTGATTTCATTATCCTGATTTGGCGCCCTATGGGCCTATGTAGGTGTCTATAATCTGTAATATTCATACGGGAAACCTTTGTGGTAAAGCCCCCCACACCTTTCTGCTTGTTATCTTTTATTTTAACACATATTTTTAAGGAAGCGCAGTTACAATTTATATCCATCCATGTAAACCAACCAGATTATCTCTAACTGCCCCAAGCATTACTTGACTTATCCCTTTCTCCCAGCAGCATTTTGACCACCTTTGCCAACTGGAATTGCTCTATCCAACCACAATTTAAGATCCACTGTGTTATTCTTTTAGTGTCTCCAGGATTTTTTATCATTGCTTTGTAGGACCAATCTTTGGCTTGTCTCCAGATCTCAGCTCTACCATTTGACCACCGGGGGCAGGACATAATCATATGCTTGGGGTTCTTTGATTGGTGGCCACATAGATAACGTGGACTTGATGCTTCGTGTACTTTTCAATGTAAACACGAGTTGAGCCCCATGTACTCACTTCGTATTTGCATCGCCAAGCTGCTTTAGGCCCTAGTCATGTTATAATGGATCTAATTATTATAAAGAACACATATTTATCCTTACTACTAGGATTTGCCATGCATCTCAATAGACACACGTAGAGACTAGAAGCGTGAGAGTTCCAGCTAGAGTTTATATGGGTTGGTTTCGATTGTAGCTCGCGGCGCTAGATGCCTGAGAGTTCATCGCCAGGAGGAGAGGATCAACTGGATTGCGATAACTATTCATTCTATTTCGTTTGGAGCAGGCCCTCAATTCCTAGATATTCAGTGAGGCTCTAATCCGACGACTAGCTAATGAGCCATTTAGTCAACGCGTGATACATGGCCTTCCAACACCTAAATTTCAAAAATAACCTGCGCGTGACGCGTCAAAGCTACCGTGGCCAACTTCCGTGTAATCATCCTGCATTTTTCGATCAGATCCTTCGTTCCGGATACGAGTATAGGCCACGACCAAGTTTTACAACTAAACCTTACCTCACAATCAAGATAAAGTCATCGATTTAAGGGGCTTCCACTCCATGCCATGGCTCGATCGAGACGGAACTTATCGGCGACCGCCGAACTAACTTCTAGCCCACCCGTTGAGCTCTCCGAAACGCAGTCAATAGCCCGTGTCATAAAGGCTGAGGGCAACAACCTCTACAGTTGCTCGCTGTCAGGTGGGGGAGATACACTACTTGTGGAACTCCCATCATGTTTTCGGAATACAATATGGTTAAAGCGTAACGGCTTTGTACTCATCGATACGAAGGAAGCTGACGTTAGACACAACAAAATCGGAGGTAAAATCATCAATGTTGTTCTAGATGAGCGCGTTTGGAGAAAGCTACCGTACTGGTGGGTTTTCGGCTCTTCCTAAATTTCTCGAGTTAATTTTGATACCATGTAGGCCCAAAGACTTTGTAAAGGCCCCGAAAAACTTTTCGGACTCAGATGCAGAAGAGTCAACTGTTGGCAAGCTACCTCCATCTGACTCAGAAAACGAAAATGAATTTCAAGAATAGCTCTGATCACGCTGATCCTCTTGGAATGTCTTCGCACATCTCAAAGAGTTTTATCCCGCACAGTTATTGAACTTGTCAGTCCTACGAATTCATTACCAGTGTTCCACCAAACGCCAAAAACTGCAAGAAACTGAACTCCTACGACTACAATAGAACTCAGGTTAGTACTGGGGTAAACATTCCAAGCCCATTCTTGCAGTGCCCATAAAATGTACTGAGTGAACAAGTGAAAACCTGCCCGCCACAGGAGGAATGGGGTTGTCAACGAAATGTATGCGTAGAATTGATAATGCATGGAACGGGCGAATAGAAATCCGATGGCATTTGCCGTAAGAACAGTGGTTAAAATAAAAGTTGGGCCGATCCTAGCGGAGATTGCCCCTCTGCCCTTTCCACAGGGTTCCTTCCAATTCAGAGCATTCTGTATCAAGAATCTTACAGGCTTGTCAATTGGTGTTAACCATCTTGAAGCCGTAAAAAACATAAGCGTCATGATGTGTGCAGTTAGCAAAGTGATCGAAAGTCCACGACTTAAGAATAAATCCTCCCCTAAAAATCTCCAGTTAACAGTCCAAGTGTAGAGAAATTGTCTCGAAAAGTCAAAGGCTCGAGTAAAATATCCCACTGCGTTAGTGGATAAGAACGGAAAAGCTATAGTGAGTTGCACTAAAGCTATAAGGCTTGCCAGTTTTAGGCTTGTGACAATTCCTTCGGCGAGAAAGAAGACAACTCCTAATGCAGGAAGTGATAAAAGTAAAGTCATCTTAATTCCTAATGCCCAGCTGTAAATTATACTACCCATGATCCAGGCCCGACGTTGAAATAAATATATAGCAGCCCACATGTAAAATACAGCGAAACAATCATTGAAAAGACGAAGAACGAAAATACTGTGCAGACGTTTCGATAATACGAGCATGGGAAGAATGTAGTTAGGCGCCTAGATCAATGTTAGAAGGCAACGTTAAAGTCTGTGAGTAACTAAAACCGCGTACATGGGCTTTCTTGTAACAGGAAATGGCGAGGAAGATGGTCCAAATGTATAGTACTCCAAATAGAATTTGGGCGAGAAGAATATTTCGGCCATAACTAGTCAGATGGTAGAGAATCCAGTACAAGTACACGTGCGCCGCGGGATAGACCAAGGGCCCAGTGCCACCTTCAATACGTGTATAGTCTCGTTCGCCCTGGACAATTTGCTCAATCTGTTCCATGTATGCCTTCCAATCAATTTCGGTATCTATAGCGCAAGAAAAACATCATCAGTGATAGGTCAGTTAAGCAATACATCGGGAGGGCACTGACATGCTATGAGTGAAATGATCAAGCCACAGAGTAAGGCATCTGCTAGTATTAGAGCGGGAGCAATGAAACGCTCGTATTCTTGCAGTAAGCCTAGGGATTTGTGGAATTGTGCGTAACACCATGAGTGAGTCGGAAGTTTACTCATGGGTTTTTTGCTTGCCATACTTAATCCAGATTGTTGATGCAGGTCAGACTGACTTGGTATCAGCATGTTTGTAAATCTAGATCGTGTTCTTCAGCCTTGCCGGTCCATAATCTACTAGCGCGTGCCACATCGGATTCCTGCACATACCTGCTGTGAGTAGATTTCACCGCCACAGGAAGGTTTTGCAGCTAAAGATCAGTTCTCCACTTTCTATTACTGCCAGTGTAATCGCCCGATAAACTCTGCATGTCTAGGATATCCAAGAAGAAACGCATCCGAATCGAAGCTGAAAAATAAGCATGTCTAAAATCGATGACTTCTTGACAATTTCACTCTAACCATTCTCATCTAAGTCCTGAACCTCTTTCTGCCTACACATCATCTCGCCTTAACGACCGATAAAAGGATTGCTCCAGTTATAAACAGGAGCTTGCCCCATCACATGCCGGATATCGCCCACTAAAAATTTGTGACGCTAGGTATACCCAAAAGGAGGAAATGAAGTCAAAATATGCAAAACTCGGGGCGTGGTTTATGTGGGATTTTTGCTCTAATGGGGCAGTGCATCTTGAGAAAGTACAGGCGACTAGGCCGTGGAAATATATAAGGAAGAGATCACTTGTGGGAATGATAGGTCTCATCTTTTCGAGATGTTTTACACTTTGGAACGTTTGTGGGCGCCAAGACCGAGATTTCGGTTAATTAGCCAGGAGGACTTCTATTTTCGATGGGTCAACAACATTTCCCAGGGCCCTGGACGGCACAAAAGAAGGTGGGCTAAGCTACCACACAGCAATCACGCTCTATCAAGACTTTCCAGCACGATCTTCGGGAAAGAGTTGGAACGAGGCTAGAGAGGCATAGGATAAATTTCCCGAGGTACACACAAGTCTGCAGCGCCTAACTAGCCGGCCTCTTCTAACGCCTCAGAAGGGTCACTCTGTCTTCGAATTTAGTCCTGATGTCGGTACTAGAAGAGCCCCACATCCAGTGGGTTTTGCGATTTTTCCCAGCTGCCATACACCCGCAAATGGCCATCGTTTAGTTGGCTGGAGAGGGGAGATAATGAAGTGCGAAGGGCTCCTCTAAGTGTATGATCGAATGAGGACTTGTGAGGTGTGGTATTGTTTGAGGGGAGCTGTATGGAAGGCGTAGGAGGAGATATTACTAGATAAGTATACTCGGCCAATTGGTAGAGAGGGCCTATATGTGTTGGAAATTTAGATTTAGAAATCATGAAGGTATAGATTACCAGGTGTAAAAATCTCGATTAATTCCATTGATTTGATTGTTTAAATTGAGCTTTTCTAGGCGGTATTAGCTTCAGTGGTATCTAAAATTTGCTGTCTGGGAAATGCTACTGTGCGTTAATAAACTTGATGGTAATACGGGACCATTAATGACTTTTAAATTAGTATTCTTTGATTAACCTATCTTTAAATGACTTGCTAAGTTAGCGAAACATTTTCGTTAATTCATTTTGATCGAGGATAGAGCTCGATACCCTATACCTTTATGAACAGAGATCCTGTCCGAGATGGTACACTTACTTTTCGGGATACTTCCTTCTAGCAATCCTTTAGAATTTTTAACAGCATGTTTCATACAACGATAGAATTCGAAAGATAAACATTCTGCATTGCTCAGGTGGTGAGGATATACACTCCTAGACTGTGAAATCTAATATGCGATACTCGTAGTGATATTATTGCGTCATAAGCACACACCTTTAGCGATACACGATATTAACAGATGCCAGGAAATCCTTACCGATACATCTATGTAGATTTGAACGGAGACTAGAACTAGATCGCCTCTAGAAAGACCTTTTAATGAGATTGTTTTTTTCACCAACATCGTGCTATATCGTCCTAGCAATCGGCATCTTCGGTATTAACTTTATCTCTTTGACTAGAGTTAAAAATAACATTTTTACTGCGTATCATTTAACGTCAGAGGTTGTCATAGACATGCTATGCGGACTACAACGTCAACTGAGCTAGCAACCCGCCTTTAGAATGAGATTTTACCAAATTGTCAACAATGAAATTTTTAAAAGTAAATTACATGTTCACATCTTTCACTCTCTCAACTCGTTATCTGATCACTGATTTCGTCATCGGAGGCGGGACAACTGATGTTCACGCCGTTGGGGCTTGTCACGACGATACCGTCGATGGAACCGCTTTTCATGCGGGATCCGCGAGACTTTCCTTAACGACTTCTTGTGACACCATATTTCTCTTCTCGATTAAATATCTACTGTAGAACATCGCTATCAAGCTCTTCTCGTGGTTGTTAGGAGTCTCAATTGCATCATTAACCCCATTCATTGTGGGAATATTATCCTCCTCTACTTCACCCTATACGATTAATTCATTTTTTTAATAGACCCCCTGTTGGAAAGTAGTTCAATATGCTCTGCACTATGCGTAGTGCATCTCTCAGTTGCTGAGTCATTGTCTTGATGACTCAGCGAATACTACGAACTATACGTTCGCAAAGTTCATAGATAGAGAAGATACATAACAACAAGAATCCATACCTCACTTTCGTACCTTTCGTTTTGCATTGAACTAACCTTACGTATACATAAAAATAAGGCCAATCGATATTCCTAAAATATAAAGGTTATTTTAAAATTAATTTCATTGTTCTGATTTACCGCCCTAGGCCCATGCAGGTGTCTATCAAACTTTTTAATTTACATAGGAGGAAACCTTGCAGTAAAAACCCCCTCAGCTGTCTGATTGGACTCTACGCCATTATAGACTTACCTCTAGGAAGCGTACTTATACTGTTGTTTCCTGTGTTACCATTTTCCCCTCTTCGCCTGATTAACACCTCGATTTCTCCCATCACCCGAAACTGCTCTAGTCATCCTTCCTTTTGAATACACAGTGCAGTTCTAGTCATATCTTTGAAGTTACTCACCATGGCTCCGAAGGATCGGGTTGTCCATTTTCGTAGCAACTCGCCTCTTCCCTTTGCCCGTTTTGGACAAGACATCATCATGTGCTTTATGTTCTGAGACGAATGTCCACATTTGCAGCATGGTTTCCTACTCCTGGCACATTCCTTTAGTATAAGTAAACATGAGCCCAGTGTAGTCGCTTTTTACTTGCGTGACAATGCTGCACTAAGCCCTGCTAAGGTTTCGGTGGATTTGGATAGGTGACTTTCTATAGTTCATCATAAGTCTACCTGTTTTCTTGTCATCATACAAATTTGCATCGTTCCACTTGTCCGGATTAGCTTGCGCTCGGGGACACAAGCGCCGCTCTTATTTCTGGCTCTTCCAGGATTTTGACCATTCCTTGACCGCAGCGTTCTTCCCGGCTACTTTCTGTCCTATTTTTGACCCAATGTTGCTGCAGATTGGGGTCCATTCCGCTATATCATCTCTCCTATTCTGATCACGTTTATTTAATTTTCTTCATCAAAAAATTCGATTTTTTTGCGTGCAGAATCAAGGTTATTACTATTTGAATCTGCTTACGTTTCACGGCTTTCGGATTTTTTTGCCGTTTTTGGTCTTCGTGAAGCTTTGATACCGCTAGATTTGCCCATATGGGCTTTGAAACTGTACGAAATGTTTTATGTTGGGAGGTAACTAGCTGATAAAAATGAGATTTACGATTCAAAAATAAATGTCAATAATTTTTGCATCAGATTTTAGTTACGTATGCAGCTAGCCAGTTATGACTCAGTATCAGAGAACAAATACATAATATGTGACTTAATATAAAGAGCACTCTTGCCTCAGATTTCATTTGCAGGCGCCACTGCGAAGTTATGGCGGCTTTTTCTTCACCCCAAGTCAACCCTCATCCGGGAATACCCACCCAGGGGAACGTGTCAAAAACCCTGAGTTATCTAGACATGGCTCCGTCATCCATCAAATTTTCTCCGTGCGAAATGTGGTCTGAGGCGTCTCCTTTTCAAGTGGAGTAGGTGCCCAGGCTACTCAAACCATACCAGAGAACACCACCAGGAGGCGGACCACGGCACTTTCCATCGTCGGCTTGTTTTTATAGTGTCAGCTGCACTCTCGTAAGCGAAGTCTTGGCGCGCGCAAAGCTTAATTCGTAAAACTCCTTGCCAAAATTCGGAATCTCACGCCCTTCGAGGTTGTATCCTTCCTTTGCACCATTTTGCGAACTTGTCCTTAATCCTCTCATGCCAATCCCAAAGAATAGTCTTCCATATTCGTGCGCCACGCTCTGTGTCCTCCGCCGGGTATAAATATCGGCGTGAGCGTGTATTTGGTGACCGGCTGAGGCCAGAGAAAGTCGACAAGAGGTGTGATCATTGGAATGAGGATGTACTAGGTCATACTTGTAGACTTGATGAGGCTTGGATAGGATTCGGACTCGTTGGAAGTGAAAAATAGACGTGGTGGAGTAGTTTGAATCATTGCCTCGTGGGCCAACTTGTTCGGTATTACGAAATTTGACTGAACTTGGCTCCGGGAGAATATTTCACTCCCAGCTTCGTAGAGGGCACCGCATATAGGTGTTCAGTCTTGCCCTCCATGCCGCATATGAAGCAGGCATGTAGCTCAGGTGGAAGTTGTTGAAGCTTTGACGTGGAGTGATAGATATGAGAGTGAGGTTTATGGGTCACGATGTATGAGATAACTGAGGTGCGGATGTATGAGTTCCTTACTATTGTTGTTGTACTAGTTAGGGTTGTATTGTCTATATACATAAAAGGATTTCTCCATCTACAAGTGGGCCAGATCGCTTAGATCTGGCTAGCGGCTTTCGCCATCCTCTTCCTTCTCCCCCGCATGGCATCACGTGCTATACAACTACTGCTCACCATGGAGTCCGAGGATGAAAAGCGTTAGATTACAACAGAAGTATCGCACGGTAAAGTATATCTAAAGCTGCAAAGTACTGTAGTAGCTAAAACAGTACTGCTATTCGGAAACTGCAGCTCTAACCGAGAGCCATGATATAAATCAGGCTTTGTACGCTAGATTTAGAATGACTAGTAGATATGATCAATATGGGGTAAATATGTTGATATATAAAGAGATTGTAGCCTCTAGTTGTAGGACAAGTTTTCTTCAAAACAATATCGGAATCAATCCTAGCCTCTCATTAAGCTATCTCATGAATCTATCTCCATGTCTGTGATAACAGACCAATATTTAAAGTCGACATCAAGTTGAAAGTCGATAAGTTTGCCTGAAGAAATCGAAGACGTGGCGGTAGGGTGTTCCTGAAATATGCTTTATTATTCATAGTATTAAGGAAATAATGAACCCTCAGTCATTGAGGTTGTAGAGCGCATTAATTCAATTAAATACTGTAGTGAAACTAAGTTTAGAATTTGTAGTCACGTATGTATCAACAACGTGGCCTACTTAATAGCCCCAATTATTCTAAATTCTAACACATAGAGATTAAGATCATGAGTATTATAGGTGGCTTATTCTTGTGGATCTACTTCCATAGAACCAATGAGGCATTTTAGAGTGCGGTTAATCTATTTTTCCATGTGGAAGAAGTAGGAAGTGAGGAGCTCGACCCATCAGCGTTGCAGATGTTAGAGGCAGTAGCAGCTGATTCCACACGACGAGACTTACGGAGCTTACCGCGGTTGTTAGAGCGAAGTTCAGAAATCTCTTTGTCGGAGAGCTGAGTAAATTTACCCTTGTGAGCGCGAGGCTGTAGAGGGCTGGCGTGGTCCTACACAGTTGATACACCGACGAAGATGAGTGCATTCCCTCTGATGGCGAAGAGTACCACAGAAGGTGCACAAAGCTTGAATCAGGCAGCGAGAGGATTTATGGAAACCAAAACAAGCTTCGTAATGGATTACCTTTGGGTTTTGGGATGTAGCGAGGTGATGGGGCGCTATCGACTATCCGAAAAGTTGGAACCTCTTTTAGAATGAATATAACCGCCGTATGAAAAGGATCGCGGTGATTCTCGTGCTACGACCAGTAGGCGCTAGATTGGGCAACACCAGTCTACGCCTAAGCAATATTCTTAATATCATCAAGCGTAAGGGAAACCGGATTGGACACCGGATTCCAAATGGTACGCGGAATGCGCTTGACGATATATCCAATGGTATCTTCTACTTGATGTAAAGTTCCTGAGAGAGAGGCCTTATTAGAGTCGGCGTGTTCCATTGAAAGTTTCAGCGAATCCACGGAAAAAAAGTCATGCTGAATCCGCTTGAGGTGCGGGAAAAGGAGGCAATACCGTCCTTGGGGTCAGTGACAAATTTTATGAGAGCTGCTTTGACAGTTGTAGCATCTACTCCGAAGAGGGAGGCTCACTCAGTAAAGCGAAAGATTGTTTTAGGGCACTTAGACTTTATGGTGGGCTTTAAGACAATTGTGCGAGGGTTTCAATTGCTGGAGATAGGTTGGGTCGGAGCTGAGGGAACAGAGGCGGGTAGGCCTGCGGCGGTCGCTGCCCAATTATGAGGATAATTTGGCATGGGAGTAGGAGGTCGTGAGAGGATGTTTTGGCTGGGCTTGGGTATGGAACTTACCGACTTGGGCTGTCTTGGAGTGTCGTGCCGCATAGGTTACCTGCAAGTAACTGCGAGGAGAAATGCGCCCGTTTGTTTACACACAAAGAATTTTATATGAGGGTCGACTTCTTCAACGGCTGTGCAAAATTTGGTGTAGAATTTTTTTATTCATTTTATTGTCCTTTCTGAGTCCATGACTATGTAGGATATGCAGGTTTTCTCTACCTACAGGCCAAGAATATCTATACCAGTAGAATATCCCCTCCTATGCCTCCCATATAACTCCCCTCAAACAGTACCGTCCCTCACAAGCCCTGATTTGTTCATACGCTCAGAGGGGCCCTTTGCCCTTCGTTATCTACCCTCTACAGCCAACAAAGCGATGGCCATTTGCGGGTGTATGGCAGCCGGGAAAAATCGCAAAAACCGTTGGGTGCGGAGCTCTTCTAGTACCGACATCAAGACTAGATTCGAAGGCAGAGTGACCATTCTGAAGTGTTCGTAGAGGCTGGCCGGCTGGGCGCTGCAGACTTGTAAGTACCTCGGGAAATTCACCCTCTGACTTTCTAGCACTCTTCCCGAAGGTCGTGCTGAAATGTCAGAAAAGTCTTGACAGAGCGTGATTGCTGGTGGTAGCTTAGCCAAACTTCTTTTGTGCCGTCCAGGGCGCTGAGGAGTGTTGTTGACTCATCGACAAAAGAAGTCCTCTTGGCTAATTAGCCGAAATCTTGGTCTTGGCGCCCACAAATATTCTAAAGTTGAAAGCCCTTCGATGTTGTCAGTCCCACTGATGCAAAATAAAAAAAAAAGTCAGTCCCAGCATAGTCTTCATAGACCTGTTACCTCTCTTGCTTCACATCTCAGCCGCCTGTTCCCCCTAAGATGTATAGCCCCATTAGAGTATCAGTCCCCCATAAACCAAGACCCAAACCTTGTAAAATATGACCTAATTTCCTCCTTGCTAGTATACGTAGCGTCATAAAATTGTAGCGGGTGATGGCTCGTAATGAATGAGGTAAGCTCCTGTTTGAAATTGGGGTGACGCCTTTATCAGTGAGTGAGTGTTTGAGTGTTTTTGTTTATTGTGCTACTTGAGTCTATGACTATCTAGCACTGCCTTTATCAGTCTTTGAGGCCAGATGATATGTGGTTAGAAAGAGGTTGGGGACTCAGAAGATAATGTTAAGTGCTGCATGATCAAGAAGTCGTCAAAGAGAGGTATGCATGTGTTTGCTTTCGACTTCCATTCGGATGCGATTCTTCTTGGCTATCCTAGATATGCAGAGCATACTGAGCCATTACACCGGCACCACTGGAAGGTGAAGAATTCGTCTTTGCCGGCGCCAATACGCGACTGGTGGGGACAAACCATATGGCGCGCGCGTCGTATTCATTCTCCAACTTCGATAAAATTTAAAGTCATTTCTGAACCCACAGATAGATTATTCAATTTTCCTGGTTTGGCGCCTTGAGGCCCATGCAGGTTTTATCGGGAGATATTTACTCCAATTAGGATGACTCAATTTGACTTTTAGAACACAAACACTTAGATTGCATTTGATGATACCACTCGATGTTAATCCTTACGGCGTATAACCTCTTCCGTGCATACCCACTGCAGGGAAAAGTGTGAAAACCCTGTGGCTATCTGGGTGTGCTTTCATCCTCCCACAAATACAGTATCACCGCGAGAGAGAGTGGTATGTGGGGTTTACTGGATTCGAACTAGATCTCTTCTGTCTCAAATGGAATGGGTGTTCAAGCTACTCAGTATCTACTTCGGAGAACGCTTCGGGAAAGGGTTGGAAGGAGGCTAGAAAGGCAGAGGGTGAATTTCCCGAGGTACTTACAAGTCTGCAGCGCCCAGCCGGCCAGCCTCTGCGAACGTTCAGAAGGGTTATTCTGTCTTCGAATTTAGTCCTGATGTCGGTACTAGAAGAGCTCCGCACCCAACGGTTTTTGCGATTTTTCCCGGCTGCCATACACCCGCAAGAGGTCATCGTTTCGTTGGCTAGAGAGGGGAGATAATGAAGGGCAAAGGGCTCTTCTAAGTGTATGATGGAATGAGGACTTGAGAGGGGCCGTACTGTTTGAGGGGAGCTGCATGAAAAGCAAATGAGGAGATGTTCTACTGGCATAGGTTTTCTTGGCCTGTAGGTAGAGAGTGTCTCTATTGAATATATATTACTCTCTAGCGTCTGGGTAGACTTTCTTTTCGAACGCTGAAAAGAGGTAGCTGTTTCATTGTAATTAGCCTAAATATCGGTGTTGGAGGAGCATCAGAGTCAGTAGTCAAAGCAAGTTTTACTGGCTACTGCACACTCGTAAATGGCATTCGTATCCTTGATTGTGGGGAACATGCGTGATTCGAAGAGTCATATAATCATTTAGGACAAAGTGAATTGAATTGAAATAAAGTTTCGCTATCAGAGCATGTCAGCTTTCTTCTATTCCTAAATACGCACAATCGACAGGCGGTCAGAGCTTTGGTCTTGAGTCGCAAGTGTCTGTAGCGCGCAATCATTTTTGGTTGAGAAAAGCAGCAAATCTATTGCTGAAATAACCGGTCATACCCTATTCCGTCATTGTGTGGATAAATTGAGCTTTTGATTACACACTGAGCCCAAAGTGTCGGGATGATTCATCTGGCTGGAGTTATTTGGAGTCGGTGGTTGTTGAATCGCATAGGCTAGTTTTTATAATTTATAGAGTCTAGAATTCGGATAAGGCATTATCCGAATACAAGCTAGATAGCCATTCCATAGCATCAACTCAGAAAAACACGAATAACCATGAATGCGCATTTCTTTTGAACGATAGTTCGAACTACTTACACGATTACTCTCACAACTTGAAGTGAATTAATGGACTTTTAGTGCACGAGCTTTATCATAACAACACTAGGTTTTGATTTTCGAAAGGAATGACCTAGACGCTCTGGTATCTTTCCCTCGTTAAGTAATATTCGAGGACTGGTTGCTAGAATATTAAAATTTGCATCCTGTGCTGATTTGATATGTAAGTCATAGCTTCATCGTCTCAAAGGTACAACTTGATCCCGTCGCCCTAGCTATGACATGCTCATTCTGTGCGCATCACATATGATACCTCCCTTCATTCGGATGAAATAATTATCTCAATCAATCTTTCTCCAAACTCCGTCCCATTTCACCATCCGTTTAAGCACCTTTGTTAATCTACAGCCAAAGAATGAAAATCGACGATCCATTCGCTCTTTTTTTACATATGTCGGCTTCAATCTCAGTCCAACATCAGATATCATAGTCAGCCTCGAGCTCTACACTGAATTTTAATTCATCCTTAATACTCATAACGTAATTCCGTGCCATAATAACGACTACAGCTATAGCAAGTCCGATCCAAACGTCATTTTTCTTTTCTCGAAAATCAAACTTCTGGATAAGTTTCAAGATCGCATCTGGCTTAGAAGAATCAAGCGTAACGAGGGTGACGCTAGTTTGATCTATAACTATACCATAGATAAGTGGAGGGCTCCGTCGGTATAAATTATCTGCTACATGTGATGTGGTTAAGTCTTTTCTGTGAGCCTCCGCGAGGAGCTTCAACTGGCCGTCACTAGCAGTACTGATGGAGTCAATACTGTGGGTTCTTTTTGTAGAAACTATAGCAAGTACCGGAAGGTGGTACATCTTAGCATAACCACCATCTTTTTGAGACCATTTGACATAACGATTTATTTCACGTGATATCAGCTTCTTCGTTGGTGCGCCAACAAGTAAGTTATCTCTGACCCGAACGCCAAGGCTGAGTAGTGATTGTAGAGCTCTAATTCCTGGTAAAATTATTAAATTTTTTGGCCTTACACTTTAGAGTGACTTACCGTAAGAGGTGGAGGTGAAATTAGTGTTAACAAAAGTTTTGTTGTTGTCGGTTTCCACAAAAACGGCGCTCGGGAGTTTGGGGAAATCAATCTCCCAGCTACTAGGTAGCATTGCATCATAACTTCGGAGACTAAGTCGTTCGTAAAGAAATAATTCTTCTGGTTTCCATTCGCCAAAGGATTTTTCTATTGGATCATCTTGATGACGAGAGAATTCGACTTGCTGATCAAGGTACTCATGCACTTTTGCTTCTACATCAACCATATAATCCAGTTCTATCGATTTTATTCCCGCCACTTTCTCTCCTGCTAAGTGCGAGACAACGTTTGAAGTTATTTCCCTGCAGCCTTGGCCCGTGTCTTCCTTAAAAGGTTGCGTCTGAAATAAATCTAAACTTTCCCACTCATCTATTAGCTGTGGGTTTAGTGATTCAGAATCCTGCGAGGCGATAGATTTTGAATTTAGTTGTTCTTCGAATTGCTCTCGGCTCCTCTTCCTTGAGTTATCGGCCTGCGATAGAAGTAAACATCTCTGATAGGGCAAATCAATTATATATTTTTTTTCTAGCTCATCTCTAGGCCCTAATTCTGCGCTTGAATATGAATGCTCATCTGAGAATTCAGAAATAGACCCCGGCTCAATAATCCGGTGCCGTTTAATAGCTGGTGATATATAACCAATGACAGCATCTTTGATCCGCGTTAATTGATTCATTGTATCTCTAGGAAGTATGCAATATCGTTGGTAATGATCGCTAAAACTATTCGTGGATTGGATTAATCGTATTTTTCATTTCTCTGAATGTAATCGAGTGGTTCGTGCGAGTTATTGCACTTTGTAGAAGTAATATTGATACAGGGTAGAGATGGAATAAGAAAATTCATTAATTAAATATGGCTTGTGCACCTTGCGGCGATTTAAGTTATCAATGATAGCTGTCAGACGATAACAATTCTGTGTCGTCTACATAAATTTCCTTTTTCCCCGCTCGACATATTGCTGACCAGGCAACGCAGATAATTTGTGGCGCTCTTAGTCATCAAATGCTTGTGATGCGGGTGGAACCCAATCTTTGATGAAATGTTATTTGAAGTTCCCATTAGGTCTATGACTATAAAGGACTGACCCAACACTGAGAACGGCGACTGAAAATTTAAGTCGGACTAATTTCATTGATCAGCTGTTGATTTTCTGATCTGCTCAACGATTCAAGTCTAAAAAAAGTTCGCAGCTGAGCATACTAGATAAATCTCCTCTTCCCTGCCCGATATTTTAAAGGAAACATACATGCAAGTTAGCTCTGGCTGTCAAAAATCTCCGGGATGTGCCCCGGACGGATAAAACCAGCGAAGAAAAATGTTAAAGCGCCCTTGAGCCAGTTCGACCTACGCTACATCATCCACTGACCTTGGAGTAGAATATTCCTACAAGGTGAGGTTCGGTCAAATTTCGCATTTCCGAAGAAGTTAGTTCACGAGGTAATGATTAGATACTACCTACCATATCAAATCTTCCTCTCCCACAAGATCAATTCTCTCCAAAGCTTTATCAAGCCTTGGTGTAAGAACCGGTACATCCTCGTTCCTATGATCGTATCTCTCTTCCACTAAGTCTTGTGTATTTTGTGGACCTGAAAAATACGTCCACACCCACACTGAAACACATAGGTTGAGACAAATAATGGCACACAAATTTAGAAGGCAGATCTGTGGGATAGACGAGAGAGATATCAGGACATGTAGGAAATATCAATACTAAGAAAGGATAAAATCTCGGAAGGCCATATATTCCAACTTTTGGAAAGGAGGTCTTTGAACTGAGCATTATGCGCTACACGATTTAATCTACGGAAGTTCAGGCGACACTAAAATCACTGCCCTGGCTGGATGGTGCGGTGGTACGTCGTCATTTCTGATCTTCCAAGTAAGGTCTGGATAGCTAGCACACATATCCCACTCAAGATAGGAGATCGCTGGTTTGAATCCGACAAAATACAACCATATTTCTCGCGATTTGAGCTTACATGGATGACGAAGGAACGCCTGGATAACCAAGGGTTTTGAATTTCCCCTTTGTGGGTACTTACGGAGGAGAGTTGACTGTTTGTGTAAGCAAGTACACCTCATAGTGGTAATAAAGATTCACGTGACATTCGCACAAAGACCTCTCTAAGTTTTACATGGTAGCATTATTCTTGGTTGATTAAAACGAAAATTCGACGGTAGAAGGCTCATCTGGAGCTTTGGTATATCGTGGACGAATCGTTTGTGACAATTTCAGAGAGGATTCTCAATCTTGTGAAATGTCGGCCTTCGGATTATCGAAGGCGGATCGGGAAATCGCTGCCCAAGGCACCGATGTAAATCAGACCGCTGTGGAAAAGAAGCGATCGGGTAAAAATGTTGCTGGCCGCACTGGTAATGTGCCGGGAAACTTCAGCAATGAGTCCGACTTGGCATCGAATGATGGCAATAGCGAAAGCTTGAAGTCTGGATCGAAAGGCAAAGGTCCCGACAAACAATACAACGAAAGAACGTATCAATATGAAGATGAACGTTACGAGAAGGTTTCTGAGCAAGCTACATCTTCAAAACTGTCGTATCAATATGCTGAAGGAAGAGACCCACAAGGTGACGACGAAGATGCAGGTGCGGGCTGGGTTCGGCCTGCCGGGACAGTCCCAAGGAATGGAAGTAGAACCCTGCTGGAATGGAACCTTTTTGACTGGAAACCACCCCAGTCGGATTTCTTAAGAGGAATTGGAAATTGGTCAATGTACCGAGAGGCGGTTTTACTACATTTAGAGTTCATCGGGTACGAACCTAGCATGAAGTTGACACCGTTAGACGAGGTGAGACTCGCAGCTGTTATTCAGAGAACCACAGCAGCAGAAACCAGGAGCCTAGTCATGGGTATGAAACGAGGTACAGAAATGATGAGGTTGTTCGAAAGAACCCATCGGCAAGTTGGCGAAATACAACAAGAAGCCGCTTGGGGAAACCTCATTGCTCTCAAATATACAGGAGGGTGTCCCGTAGAATATCAGACGAAATTTAAAACGGCCGTGAGGGACTATATTTCCACAGGTGGGACTCTAGCTGTGATAGGCGATCAACAAAACAATATAGTAAAGGAATGGTGGCCGATTACTGTCTATTTTCTACATACATCTCGGAACTGTCCACCGAGGGGAGGCTACTTAAGGTGTCCCAACTCCCAATGCGCTAACCTCACTATCTATTCTACTACACCATATCCTTGATATTCCGAGTGGGCTCGTCATAGCGAAACTGGGTCGTATCGGCCCATGATTCCATATGAGACTTGCTGCAACAATATCTTGTTTCCATATTTGTTGCAACCCTGTATTTGTATGGCCAAGTTGGACATCTCTTTAGATAGCAAGGCTAATGACGTAATAATGATAAGTGTCCGTGCGACAGTCACTAGGAGATAGGCGCAGCCTGTAACACTAGCTGAGAAACAAATCTCGATAATCTTCAAGCAATCAACGAAGGAAAAAGCTGGAAGGTGGAATTCTATGGTCTCCACAATAGCACGTTTTCAAAGCTGGTCTGTAGATAATCTCTTACAAGATTTCACAGCTCATCACTACAACAGAATCGGCCAGTCATTCAAGGAAGAGAATGCCAGAAAGCAAGAGCCGATGAAAAAGTTTTTGAACAACGCCCAAGGTGAACAAAGTGCGGATGACCAAGCAAAGTCAGCAACGAAAGGGAAGGTCAATAACCCGAAGAAGAAATTTTCAATCCGCTGCTACAATTGCAAGAAAGAAGGGCATATTGCCAAAAATTGTCCTATGAAAAAGAAAAAGGTAACCAACTCCTATGCTGCAAATGGACAGACAGCGAATGACGTAGGCCCACCAGCTGCAATAGCCAATGAATATTGTCAAATTCCCGAAGAGTATTCCGCAAATACTTACGCTGCTCAAGTAGACCCATTAATCTACGAAGATATGGTTAAGTTTTACGACAATGAGATGGCACGACGGCGTGGCGAGTCCATTGCTGAACAGGGACCGTCCAATTCAGAAAATGTAGGAGCCTCCATTCAATTCACACAGCAAATTCTCAGTGCTTCTGGAGAAAGTGGAGTCAAAAACCGTTGGCTTTTTGATACTGGCGCTGACGTGGACGCCACTAACAATCGTAGAAACTTCAAACCCGGCACAGTGGTAGAGCTAAAGCCAAATCAATTTCCAATCCAAACTGGGGGTGGTATTGTATGTGCAGAATGTGTAGGGGAAATTTGGCTGTCGCTCACTCGACCTGGTGGTAAACAAACCTCGATGAGGTTGAAATACGTAGTATACTTGAAAGCCATTCCTTTGAATATCATCAGTGGAGAACGTTTCTACCGCAGTGGTGGTTTTCTGGACAAGAATAAAATCGTCAGCCCTAACGGTGAAATATTGTCATACATAGATGCAGAACGACGAGGATTTTTCTTGTGGTTGTTCAATCAACCTGAGCCTTTGAAATTGACAGGTTACAAAAAGGACGTAAACCTAACTTCCGTGGACAGCGAGCAAAGCAACGAAAACAAGAGCCTCGCACAAAGCCTTGAAGAAAAAGAGTTTCGCCAAGCCTATCAAGAGTGCTGGAAAAACGGTGTATTGGAAGTGTCCGATGACGTAATGAGACGCCTGATCCTATGGCATAGGCGCCTATGCCATCCAAGCACCGAGCGACTTAAATGGACTATCAAGAATACAGTTGGAATCGACCTGATGCCATGGCAAGTCGAAAGTTTGCCGTGCGAAGCATGCGATATGGGAAAGTCTCTTAAATATAAGACTTTTGAACGACGGCCTCGAATGAAAAACGTCGGAGAAGGCTGGCATTGTGACGTGGGAACCTTAAACCCAGTAACAATGGAAGGTTATGGGTATTTTTGCCTCACAACAGATGACGTTTCCAGGTATAGGATATTTCGTGCGTTAAAGAAGAAAAGTGATGCTGCCGATGAACTCAAGTCAATTCTGTCAAAGACAAACTCAGAATTAAGACAGCGTCACGGGCGTCGAGTAAAAAGATTAACGATTGATGGAGGTCGAGATTGGGGTCTGAACACCCTCCAAGAGTTCGCGGCAAAAGAAGAAATTGAAGTGATAATTTCTGCACCAAATAACCAGTATCAGAATGGCGTGTCAGAGAGGGGTATCCGCTTCGTACAATATGCAGCAAGATGTTGCAGTATTCAGATGAAAGTTCCATCGGTCTTCTGAAATTATATGTTAGAAATGGTGTGTTACACCTTAAACTGCACATCCCAAGGTTCTGTAGAGAACAAGAAAACACCTTGGGAAGTATATTGGTCTCAGATCGACCCCGACTGCGCGAAAACCAAGGTCGACCATTTGTGGATACCTGGCACTCTTTGCATTACACATGTTGACGCAAGTCATCGTATTGCAAGCGAAAAACTCGACGCCAACGGCACCAAAAGTGTCTTCTTTGGTTACAGAGGAAGCAAAAATAAACTTGTCTGGCTACTTGATGGTGGGAGGTTTATCGTGTCGCCTCATGTTACGGCGTATGAAAACGTTGGTCCGGGCCTTGGTTGGGCAGCAGACCCCAGAGAAGTTGTACGATCGCTGCCAAAGCATGTTCAAGATAGACTTAGGTCCAGAAAGCAGGATTATGCAAGAAACGAGGATTACAACGTACCTCAAGATGAAGAACCACAGC